CAGCATATTATGATCAAATTCAGTTGTCCTTTGTATAAATAACAGTTAAGCTCAGACCGTGCCTTCAACATGGAGGTACTGTGAGGGAAGAATAATTGAGGGAGGGGAGAGAACTTGGAGAACTTGGGCTGTTCTAGGTGGCTTCTGCCTGGAGCTAGAAGGCCACCCCCCTTCTTTTAACTGTGGTATGACTGATTTAGGAATAAGGAGCAGGGAGGAGATGGGATGGTGGTGAGGATTGCAAAAACTTTGTCACGGAAAATGGGGGTAGACAGTAGATGGAAAGACGGTATTTTATAGGGCACTAGATTGGAAGGAGGAGGGTTTTCAAGCATTGTCCTCTCCCAATATTTCAGTTGTTCCATAACTCTATTATGTCATACCGTTGCATACAATTAGCTACGTTAGACTCATAGCTCAAATTATAGCTTCAGACATGGACATCAGACAAGGCTTGGCTGATCGATATGATTTTATGTTAATATCGGACGATATCAGAATCATATCAGTATTAGCAGATATTTGATTTAAAACAAGATCTGCATTAGACTATTAGATTTGGCCGATATTTCCGACTGATATGTGATGGTATATTTATTGTACTCCGAAAGAGCAGAGCGTTTAGCCGATGCCGGGTTATGTTGTTAAAATATCTCTGTTTTATTATTTTACTGCTTTTGTAACCGTATAGAAATAAATGTTAGATAATGCTAATCAAGGTAGATGTAGTCCCAATTTCAACACTTTATAAATGGTTATGTATCTCGACATTGGCAGGTATAGGTGTATGCAAAAATGTGGACACCCCTGGTCAAATTACCTTATTATAACATGATTTGTTAATTTTCCAAGTGAAAATAAGCGTCCTTTACAGAGAACACACTTCTGCACATTTTAATGCACAACTACTGTTTATTTGCTAAATGTAATATATTGGGGGCTTTATATGTTGTTAACCTTTTTTCTCTTTTTTAACAAAACATGTAATTAGATGGAGGGTATTTAAACTTTTGCATGCAACTTTATGTACACGAAAAATATCAGATATCCCTGCTACATTTGGGGGGAGAATTGTGTAAGAATTCCTGGCTGAGCTATCACTTGTTTGTCTGTAGCTGCAGAGAATGCCAATTACAGGTAAACATCTATGTCCTAGATGACTGTCAGGCAAGAGCACATCACAGAGCTCCTGAGTGGCTCCAGGCCTGCAGTGTCATCACTATCTGCGACTCTGTGGATAGCTCCTAGCTCCGCAGAGCTGTCAGAGTGAGCGACATCTGGGTTTGCACTACAGATACTTACAGAGATCACGCTGCTCTAGGCCCAATCTCATTTCACCCCTTACCCCCACCATCACCCTTACCTCTCTGTTTTGCGTGTTCATGTCCAGGGGTACGGTGTCAACAATTTTTGTTGAGATAAAGGGGCTACGGCTACCACTAGCAGCCTTTTTATGAAGCAGTGTTCTTTTTTATTTGAGGGTTGTTCCATTTCGTAAGGGAAACTAACCCTTGTAACTCAGTTCCAAGGTGACACTCGAAAACAAGGGGTAGGTGTAAAAATAAGAAATAGGGTTGGGCCTTAGTCTCAGTGTAGTATTGGTACATTGTTGAAGACTAACATGTATAGTAGTAGGTCTGTGTTACCTAGTAGATCACAATGCGTGTGTGTGCGTGAGCATGAGTCTTCTAACCATTAGTGCTGGTTTGGTCCTCAGGGGAGAGAAAGTGCAGAGACGGTTATCTTCACAATAATGAGCACTCTCTCTTTCTTTCTCTCCCCCTCCCTCTCACTGCGGCTCATCTTTCATACTTTTTTTGCACATTTGCATTTTCATATCCACATTAGCAGATCCTGTTTCTCTCCTGTAAGTCTCAGTGAGCAGTGTTGACTCTGCCCTAGTTCAGTATGCTTAAAGCATGTCTCTCCACTGAAAAAAAACACTGCGTTTGTCAGAGTGTGATTGCCACTGACTCGTCAGACTCACAGATCACTCATGAACATTTGATGTTGGTCAGCATGCTCTCAGCACACTTATAGATTGCAGTGATTTGAATGCTCTTTCGCTGAGTAGCATTGTAGAACAAGAAAAGCTTCATTTTGACCAGACGTACTATGGCTTGTGTCTGTCAAGACTGCTTGATTAAACTCAGTTATGTTTTAATAAAGTCAGTGTGTAAAATTTACCTTCTTGATGAATTGACAGTTATTACTTAGCAATGTGTATAATAATGCAAACAAAAAGTGTAACCATCACTACTGTTGTGAACATGCCTTCTTACCTCTTACAGAGGTGCCACAGTAGTCTCTAAACTGAGATTTTCTGGTTTAAAGCGTTGTAGGCAGAAATAAATTTCTGGGTAGGGCTGTGAAAAAGTGGCCACTTTTTTGGGTACGACACAGGCACATTTGCTTTATGAACACAACATAGCTGTTAATACTGGATAGCTGAGATCTACAATAGCTGGGAGAAACAGGACAGCAAACTGCTGGACCCGAAGATGACATGACTGACAATGTTTTCTCGACGGGTAGAAAACGACATCTATGGGATGGAATCTCACTGTTAAATGCCCCCAGTTACATCTTTCACTGCTCAAGCTTCAAATTCAAACACTGGCGCACCAATAACAAACTAAAGGCTTGAGGCAATAGCAGATAACAATGGTTGCTGTACACTGATTGGAGGGCTGAGAAAATAAGGCGGAGTTTAGCAGAGAGAGTAATAATTAGACTGGCTATGATACAGTGACAGGACTCAAAGAAATCAAATTGCATTATCTCTTAAATATTAAAAATTTCGGCTTAATAAATATTAATTCCCCATTTGATTTCTTTAAAGGCCAAGAAAACCATCTTCTGGTGAAGTATCTTGAAGTATTGAAGTATCCTACTGGTCTCTCTTACCATCAAAAAACAGAGCCTGGTGGTCTCACCCATTTGTATGCATTTCTCTCATTTATAATAGTAACAGTATAATTAAAACTGAGAGCTCCGTGCATGTCCTTTTGTAATAATCACATTGTAGCAGTATTGTATCGAACATACAGTGTACTATACATCCTGTTCTATTCTGCTCTTATCCTCTTCTGTAATTTTCTCATTGCTTCCTCTCCCCTTTCCTCCTCTCAAGTTTCCCTCATATTTTTCCTCTCTCTGTGTGTTTGGAAGACAGCCAGTACAGGTGTTCATGTGTGGAGATGACTCAGTGTGCCATATCCCAGTGACCTTTTCATGACCACAGAGATAGAGCAGCGAGAAAAATATCACTGTCTATAAAAAGAAAGCACACTTGCTTTGACACTGTGTAATGTAGATTGTGCTCTGTATACATTTGTAAGGTCTGTTGATTGTAAATTTGAAGCTGTATTGAACAGAAGCATAGATAATTGGACTTGATATTAACATTAAACTCTAACAACATTTTAGGGAACTTAATCCCAACATGACAACACAGATATTTATAATGTGCACTTTAAAGCTCACTGGTGGAAATGTGTTGGAAGAACATTTTGTATCGTTGGTTGTGCTTCGGAATCTGATGATTGCAAGCATGTTGAAAGAGTATTCAACATTTAAACATAAAAATCTTACATAGTGCTGCTTTAACTGCAGAATATATGGTTCCCTGCAGTGTTCAGATGCTAAGATCAGGGCCTTGCAGTTAGCTTCACTAGTTTAGCCTCTCTTCAGTTACATCATATGAGACTTTTATTCCATCACATACTCCAGCAGAGTAAAAGTGGGTCAGCGGGATTAATTTTCTGGCTGGCTTTTGCCTATTGGGAGCTAATGGGAGATTAGCTGGGAAGTTTTTGTTCAGTAAGTCTCTGGAAAGCACAATGTCTGTTCGTCAAAAAGGCCCCTTCAAGAAAAGGTCACATGAGGCAGGAGGGGCTGTGAGAGCAGCAACACTCCAGCTCCCCGCTGTTCATCTAGCTGACCAGGCCAATCAGTCTGGCCTTTTGCAGCCCAAACAATGGCAGGTCTGGCAGGCGGCTTTTCCACTGATGGGTGACTTCACTGTAATGTTTTTCCCATATACTTAATGATAATGATTCTGTTAGATCAGAAGGTTTATTCATAATAAATCTGAGTGCTCCTTTTTATAGACGTGTTCTAAAGCTTTTGGGCTAAGACCAGTATGGGCAGGAATTCTCTTGCTCTGATGTGCTTTTTAAATATAGGCTGAAGTTTATTCATTTAAGAGAAACATGGCAGTTATTGGAGAAAGCAGCCTAGTGCCTCAGTGTTCCAAAAGTGCAAAATGGGCATTTCTATTTCAATAGTAACCTCCTAAGAGCATCTTTCCTGTTCCCATGGTCTCTCAGTGACTTTCCCCATATCTTTAAGGAATCACTGTGGGGGAGAGAGAATTATGAATGTGATAATTGCTGTGGTCAAAGTGCCCTTGAGTTTAAATGATGCAGTCAGATGTGAGAAGGTCTGTTAATTCTTTCAGTCTCTTCTCACATGGATCACTGGGTTATTTAAATGCATTGAAATGTGTGTGCAGTGTTCTTGTTCTTGCTTCGACGCTGAGCTTTGTGCCCTCCAACGGGACATCACGCATCCATATTCATATTTGGCAGGGCATGCCATCTGTGGGGATTTTGATGTGATGAAATGAAAGCAAAGGCTTAATTAGAGCCCTTTTGAAGTGCTGTGACCGCGTTCCACAGCTCTGCATCCTGCCTTTTGGTTCTGCAGCAACTCCAATTGCTCTGGGTGATCCAAGAGGCGGTTGATATGTCGGTCCATCACTGAAAGTGGTCATCCGTCCAAGCTAGTCTTGTGGTCTCATAAACAATTGACCCAGTCTCCTCTCTTATGTCGTTTTGTGTCTCAACCAGCTGATTTTGACCTTGTTTGTTTTATCAGAGAACATGATTGATTCTTGCTGCTGTTGCATATTGCTTTGTTTGGTCATTGTCAGTCTTTGTAGAGTAATGTGGATGTTAAGGACTAACTCTGTGTTCCATATCTGTTTCATCTTCAAGGCATTGGCAAGAACGTCATCTGTGACCGGACGGCTACTCCACTGGACGCCTTCCGCATGATGTCAGCAGCCCAGTACTACCCCAAGCTGTTGAGCATCATGGGTAACGTCCTTCGCTTCCTGCCAGCCTTCGTGCGCATGAAGGAGCTGTTGGAGGAGGGCTACGTGGGGGAGCTGCTAGTGTGCGAGGCACAGGTCCATGGTGGTAGCCTCCTGGGCAAGAAGTACAACTGGAGCTGCGACGACCTAATGGGTGGCGGAGGACTTCACTCGGTGGGCAGCTACATCATCGACCTGCTCACGTTCCTAACTGGCCGACGTGCCGTCAAGGTGCACGGCTTCCTCAAGACTTTTGTCAAACAGACTGACCACATCAGGGGCATCAGACAGATCACCAGCGACGACTTCTGCACCTTTCAGATGGTGCTGGAAGGCGGCGCCTGCTGCACCGTGACACTGAACTTTAACGTGCCTGGCGAGTTCCGGCAGGAGGTGGTCGTGGTGGGCACGGCTGGCCGCCTCACTGTGAGCGGCACAGACTTGTACGGTCAAAAGAACAGTGGTGAGGGAGGTCGAGAGCTCCTACTCAAGGACAGCACGCCATTGGGCAATGCCTCCCTGCCTGATAAGGCCTTCAGCGACATCCCCTCGCCCTACCTCACGGGCACCATCTGCATGGTCCAGGCTGTACGGCAGGCCTTTCAGGACCAGGATGACCGGCGGACCTGGGACGGGCGGCCGCTCACCATGGCCGCCACATTTGAGGACTGTCTGTATGCTTTGTGCGTTGTGGACACGATTAAGAAGTCCAACCAGTGTGGCGAATGGCAGAACATTGTAGTGATGACGGAGGAGCCTGAGGTCAGTCCAGCCTACCTGATTAGCGAGGCCATGCGACGCAGCAGGATGTCTTTGTACTGCTAGAGCTGCTTGAGAAATCACTGAATGGAGTTAAATGGATGTTCAGTGAAAATGAGAGAAAGAGATCGTTCCCTTGAGGATTGGAGGAATGTGGTAAAACAAAGCCTGCTACATTTTGAGTTGCGCTTACTGGTACGTCCAGTTTCTTGCTTTGCTGGGAAGTGAATGAAAGGAATGCACAGGATGGCAAGTAAACAGCAATATACTTTCTTGACTTTCTCTGAACGGCACTGCTTCTGGGAGAAATCACACTGGATTCATGGAGGATGAGTGAGTGGAAACTGTTTAGCTTATTTTTCCTCACTGGAGAATACCTCTCCAGGAACACATCTAGCCATAACAAACGTGGCTCTGTCCTTCCTGCATGGAGATGAATGTCCAAACCCAATGGGCTTGAGTACTACTGTCCTGTGTATATGTACTGTGAGTATGTGTATGTGTGTGTACTGTTTGTGTGCTGAACAGTACAAAAAGCCTAAAAATCAATAGTTTGGCTGGTAGGCCTTTTAAAGAGGAACTCCCCTCTAGTCAAATTCGCAATAAATCTGCCTAGACACCCTTGTATGCCTGAAATACAAGGTAATGGCTTTTTCCAGCTATGTGTTTGAAGAGGAGAGAATAATGCACACATATTAACGTGAGTCTGCTTTTCTTTGTAGCTTTAGGTTGGCGGCACTAACTAGGGCTGAATGATTAATTGTTTTTATATCGCAGTTTGAAAAAATGCAATTTTTAAATTGCAAGAGCTGCAATTTTAATTATATACTACATTATTTAACGTTGTCTTAACATTACATTCAGCATTTATCCCTCAAGCCCAAAAAATAGATGTGGTCATGTTCTTGAGGGCAAAAAAGCCTGCAGCTAAATTTATAGAACATAATCGCATTTAATAGCAGTCAAAAAATCTGGTCGGAAAAATTACAGTTAGTTTTTTTTCCTTAATCGTTCAGCCCTAGCCGTAACTGTGTTTTACAGGTTCTATATGAGTCTCAGTGTCGGCCAGCTTGATTCAGCGTGTGATGCAGAGCCTTCCTATGCTTGCATGATTGGGTAAGAATGTAGAATGCATCTGTGGACGCAAGTCAATCAATCAGCAGTGGCCTCTGTTTAGTCCTGCATAAATGTTCCAGCATGCACGCGACCTGCACTGTTACAGAAAAGACTGAAATAATTACTATCAATATGATCTAAGCAAACAAGTGGTACATGTGGTAGAGATAGAACCTAAAACAAAATAGTAAATATGCCTATTTGTTCTTAGTTATTGACTTAGACATTCATGAGTCTTACACCATCGCTTACTATGACCTGTTATATGGCAAAACAGTAGTAATACTATTTGTTTACAGGGTAAAATCGCTGGTGTTGAGTGGATGATATAAGTCTGAAGTTGATTCAAACACTGCCGATTTTACGCTCCGTGGTTTTTCATCTGCATGCTCTAAGCTCGGTTTATGTGTCTTAGCCAGGTCTGATAATGGGCAGGTTGGTTTATATGGACATTTCTAGCAACCTTTCATATAATCAGAGTTGCACATTCTTGAGGGCTAGATACAATTAGAACCAGCTATAAGCTTAAAATTCTGTATACCAAAACCTATTCAAAACATGCAAGAGGTGCTAGACGATGGTATGAACCAATGTACTGTATTGACCTGAAGATATTCCCAAATTACATTTTTATTAGTGCAGAATAATTTTCAGCATCATCTGTTATCACTTACTCTTAGCTCTCACACTGACCTACAAGCCAAAAGATTGATTTTTATTTTAATCTTTCTTTTTAAGTGTTGTCAAGGTATTACAAAGCTCAAAGTGTTCGGCATAACATTATCCACTGTCTGTGTTCAGTGTAGGTAACATATTATGGTAGCATTTTACTTGAACTCTGCTACATAACATTGACATGACCATGCCATACACGTCACAGCAGATCAGCTGTCATGACAGATTTTTCCAGGAATATAGCAGTGTCGTGTTTCCATTACTGTTAATTGTCATGACAGATGCTAGTGCACAATCAAAAATTAGCACATGACATTAGTTGTCATGATAGCTGACATTTGCCGTGATGTTTATGGCATGGTTGTCGATGTTAAGTAGCAGAGTTCAAGTTAAGTGTTATCCTTATTGTTGCAGTCATCACTCAGCTGATATAATGGAGTCATATGGCTGTCATAAGCAGTAGTAAAAATCATTTTAAATAATGTTTTTTTATAATAAGACTGACAACAATGATGCAAATGACTTTCAACAAGATTCCTAGCGAGAATTCATACTGATCACTGTGTCATGCTTGTGTACATTATAATGTGTCATAACCAGTTAAGATTTCCGTGAACTGTTACGACAGCTTATCACACTGTTATATTAGCTTCAACCTCACAGAAGTTTATTTTGAGAAACATACGTTGACATTTTGTTTGATTAAATATGACTGTATTTTTTTTTAAACTGCCTGTGAAAAACACCTGCTGTAAATAACTACATACCTTTTTTATACATGCTATGTGTAAAATAGACATATTTATTTTAGTTTTTTTTGGATGTTTCGCTTCAAATCAGGAACTGTGTGTATTGTTAGAGAGGAACAGAGAGGCCTTTGAGTGCACACTTCTCCAAGAGAAGTGCAGCACTTCCACTGTGATGCTACTGTTAAAGTGTGTGACCAAATCTGCCCCCCCCTTCTTCTCCCTTCAAGTAAGTGCACCTGTTTCAGTGCTGTTAGTTCACACTATTAGTGACTGTACAAATTCATAGAAAATCAACCATGACAATTTTCAGAGGTACAAACATAATGTTTAGCAAAGTATTGAAATCTTCATTTCTGCATGATGATATCTGAATCATATTGGTGCCAGCAAATAATTGCATTGAACCACTAATTAGATTTGACTGTGTGGGCTAGTGGTGGGCGATAAGGCAAAAATATAATATAACAATACTTGAAGACATATATGCAATATTGCGTATATTACGATGATATACTCATCATGATATTTCAGTTGTCAGTGCTTCAATAAGTTGGAACAGAAATAAAGCCCTGTAAGTACCACAATTTAAAATATAATGAAAAACTATCAGTGCGGTGATTTTTATTTAGCGTTTCACATCCAGTTAAACAGGACTCATTATACTGTCTTTGTAATGAAACATGCAGTTGGTCAGTGTTCTTTAAGTACTGTTTAGTGGGTTGGTGGATGGAATGCTATTAGCACACTGAGGAAGGTTGTGTGCTGAAATGCATCTGTGCTTATAATGAGTTTAATAAATATTTTGGCAATTATGCAAGTGCTGTCTGAACCTTTTCTTTTAGTACTGACCATATTCGCAATACGCTCAGAAAAGCAGACAGTGACATGGTTTGTCACTGTAATGGAAAAATATTGTCATATTGCCCAGCCCTAATTCAAACTGTATATTTAATTATGTATTTATTGTATTCTAGAAGAGCAGAACGTTAAGTCAGTGTGGATTTACTGAGCTAAAAGGTCTGCATTACCTTTATTTTATATCTCTTGTAACCCCCTACAAATAAATGGTACATTTATCCATAAAGCTAGTCCAAATGTGTCTGTATCAGCATCGACATCGACAGATATTGGATATTTGTACATGCCTATGAATTTATAAACACAAAAAGTCGTTTGCTCCTAGAAATGCTAGCTTGTTTATTCTTGGATATTTGTAAACTGTTCCCGTGTTCATTTATTCCTGTTTGCCCATGTGCTAGTCTCATACTCCAAAGCATACTAAACTAGACTGTATACTGACAGCCAAGCTCAGTGACCTTTCACCTTCTTTTCTTAATCCTTCACATTCGTTCTGCTTCGTGCACAAAATGAGCTGAAGCAGCCATGAGAATGTGAATCATGTCACTTTTGACATCTGGGCTGGACATTTTTGCAGTGATCTTAAGCTGCATTTTTAATGTTTCCACATAAATAATTCTGGTCATTTCTCATTATGGGCCTTTAAAATGAAGAGAAGGACAGACATAGATTCACTCTGCCCTGCAGCCTCCATTAACTTGGCTCTCTATTTAATTAAAAGTCCCTAAAGGTCACACATCATCCCCACTTCTCTTAATTGACGTGAGTGCTACAGATAACGTTTTCTAAAGACAAAAATGGGCTTCCCATGGCTGAAGTTTCACACTGGGAGAAAATAAAGTACTTGAAAGCTAATCCAGTTTGTGCCTATGGCTGATTCTGGACACTTCAGAGTTATCAGCATAATGCAAATACGAGCAACTATCATCAAAACAGCCTTCAACACACCCTTGTAGTTATTTGTCTGGAAATTCATTAAGTGCTAAAAATGTATTTTAAATGATACACAGCCTGAAACATGTGCCGCTGATCATTTAATAAGAGCTGAATTAACTTTATAGCAACTGATATCAGCTTAATTGAATCTGTATTGATGTGAGGTGTGTTCATCAGTGCGGTGCACACTTTCACGACAGGTTCCAGACATGAAGAGACGATTCAACTATGTGGGGCATTCATACTCTTCAAAAGTGGGCCAGATTTTGTCACTGAAAACAATGTCTTTGGATTTTACAAAGAGAAAAGAGAACACACTTTGCTCAAATCTGAATATTCAATATAAATCTGAATTATATGATAAGCTTGTCATGATTGTTTTTTAAACATTTTGAAGTCAGTTCCTATCATGACTATGAAAGTTCCATTGAGAAATCAATGTGTGTCCACCATCTGTCCTTCTACAGCTGCTGTATTAATGCAATTATGCAGATAGTGTGATGATGTCTGTGTAACTGGAATAAGTGTTTTTTTTTTTTTACTGTCTTACTTTTGGTAATGTGAGGTTTTACCCCAGACATACTGGACACATGATGACAAAGCTGCAGTCTTGTTGCTGATTGCTGTTATGCTCTTTCTGAACTTGCTTGTTTCTGAACAAAACAAAACTACAAAAAAATAAGATAAAAACTTGAAACCATGGGGAAAATGTTACAGCTGGAAATGTTCTAAGTGTATATGTACGCTAGTACCGCTGTTGTGTGTGAGTATCTCTTCCCTTCTCTTTAGGCAGCATTTGCAAACATGTTGGGTGAGGAGGTGGAGGTGGTGGGGCGCTTTGAAAGGCCTGGGGACTAAAGGGGTCTGGATTTGGCGAGGACACACTCAGCCTTCCAAAATTGTTTCCGGTTAAACAAAGCTTTGATGGAAGGGTGAGTCTAAGAAGAAGAGTGAATCCTTTTAGTCAACCTTGGGAAGATGTTAATGCGTAGCCTCTCAGCCTATAGACCAGGCGTGTACTGATACACAAAATTCACGAGGAGATGTGTACTGTTGTTTTTGCTCCGATACATTCAAACAGAAGTAAAAAATAAAGGGCAGCATTCTTTTGTTTTGTTTGTTTGTTTGTTTTTGTCAAAGACTCATTTCAGTTTGCAACAGTAAATACATTGCTAATACTTTACCGAAGGGCAGCATTTGTAAGGTTCCATTACACCTATATAAGCCCTTCAATGCATAAACCTACATAAACATTTATAAAAAACCTTATTTTCACTAGTGTCAGTTTTCATAAAGGCTCCCTTTGTCGATTTTATGTTAAAAAGCTTATGTTGGTGTTAACTCTGCCCTAATATTTTTATAGTACAAAATCTATTCTGTTTAATTCATAGTGTGGATTATCTCTTGCATCTCCCATATTGAAAAAAGAATATGAATATGTGTAACGTAGCCCCATGTGTACTGCAGCTGGCGCACTCAGAATGATAATATATGGCCACATTTATCCTCTGCGAGCTCCACACTAAAGCCTGAATGTCTGTCCAGTTTGCGTGTTTGTGCTGTTAACAGCTGCTTTGCCATTTTGTTGTGGCAGTGCAGATGTGGATGGACACACACACCCCACTTTTCCCCCACGCATTGCACAGCTCCTGCTGGGGTGAGGGGTGGTGTAGGGGTGCCCCAGTGAGAGGGGGGCGGCTGGGGTGTTCATGATGAAAAGACACAGAGCTCAAAGAGGTGCTTTTTGTGCACCCTCACTCAGTATCCTAGCAACCGGCTGCCACAGGGCCAAACCGGGCTCATCTTAAACGTTCTCTCCCACCCTGCTGCTTCTCTTTCTCCTCACCTCTCCTTTTCTCTTCTTCTCCTATCCTGTTCTGTCTCCTTTCCTTTTCTCTGTCTATCCTGTATCTCTCTCCCCTTCTCTCTATTCCTATCACGCTTGCTCTGTCCCTCCTCTTTTTCTCTTTCTTCGTGAAGTGCAGTAAATTTAATGGTCTTCCAGGTGATTCTAATATTTTTACCATCTCAGTTAATACTGCTGTTTTACATCATGGTTCAGAATTAATGATATTCACCATAACCCTGAATGCCCACAGGCTTTAGAAGTAATTGGCGATGGTCAAGCAGATTGATTGTTCTACAAATGTTCTAAAATACAAAGCTAGAAACTTTTGCAATATTTTTAGTTTAGGCATTTCAGTATTATTGCTTTTATTTTTACAACTCGTACAAAATGCACTTTGAGCTGCCACCGGCATGAGAAGTGCTATATAAATTAAAAAAATTATTAATTATTAAATTATTATTATCAGTCATTAAACTTGTTTTCAAACTTATTTTCCCACTGATTTTTTTTGTAAACATTTGTGTTTGTTCTCAGCTGTCACATGATGAGAATCCCAGTAAACATCTAACTGAAAAAGATAACTGAAACCTTTCAGAATTAAGGCAGCTTTGCCAGAAGTGGAGATGCCCAAAGTACAGAGACAATACCAGAAGGCTTCAGAAAGCTCAGGTTGAAGCACTGATCAAACAGAGCATTGAAATGAAATATAGTTCAGTATCATGGTGCACACAAAGATCACCTCACTTTTAATTAGGCCTTACATTCCACCAGAGTCCAACCCTGATTATCTCACCTTTCGCCTTTCCCCTCACCTGACTGGGTGACCATAATGATCAGAAAGATCAATTAAGCTTGTTCAGGAAGAAGCCTCTCTGCATCTACAGAGGTGAATAATGCACCACATGCATGCCTGCTGTCTTTTTAATTCTTTACTTCTGGGCTGGCATGGATTAGGCTGTGTAATGTATTTTCTTTATGGTGAGATTTCACCTGGAACAGTAGGAATGCCAGTGTTCCTGGGTCAGTGCCACCTGCTGTACCAGAGCAGCAGAGCTGAATACTGTTTTAAGCTTAAACTACAGATGCATGGGTGATTTTAGAGAAAACAAAGAATTTGAGGTTTAAACCGACTTATTTCACCAAGACAGTCCTGATGGGTCCAACCAATCCACCTTCAGAACACTAGCAAAGTTCGAGCGCTGCTTGTGCCTTTCATTTTCTATCTAATAGACGAGAAATTTCATAGTGTGAGCTGCAGGGAAGCTAGTCAGCCACATCTTAAGCCAAAAACATTGTTTTTGGAAACCTTTTGTTTTGGTAACAAAGCAATAAGAGCACTGAATGAGTATCAGTATGATCAGCCTTCCACTGACATCCAACATGCAAAGTCCACACAAAGACATTGCATAAACCAAATTTTATTTATATTACATGTTCTAAAAACAGTTACACCTGTGGACTACAGGTTATTAATGAAAGCTTCACTCTGCCACTTTCATTCTTAGACAGTACATCTGGCTAAGGCTTATTTGACTACTCAAATGTTTCCTAGGAAATATGGTGCAGCTCTGTAAGTTCACAGCTAGCCAAGTCTTAGTTGACCATTTCAAAGTGTCTTTTCTTAATTTTTTTCACTTCTACCGCTCTCCATCTCAACATATTGTTTGTGAATGCTGCCTTTTTCTGTTACTCTACTACTGAACGTGTTAATGTCACAAAAAACCCTATCAATTTTAATGCTTTATTGATGTTTGACTATTTATTGTACTATATGTATTTCGTGGACGCATGGATCTTTGTATATATTTTGGATTGGCAAACGTATATTTATCAGTCTTGAACTATAGAATGTATTGTATTAGGAGCATTAAAGTCTATATTTTCTATCTGCTGTATGGAGGGGTTGGCAGCCAGGAGGCAGGACTGTCCACCCATAATATGGACTGCAAGACTGTGTGAATGTGCAAGCCCTGTAAACATCCTTCAGTGTTCCACTGAGTCTGGTCTACACTGCTACTGTGTGTGTGTGTGTGTGTGTGTGTGTGTGTGTTACACACACACACACACACACACACACACTAGTTTATGCATTTGCGAGTGAGTGTGTGTTGTACGTCTGAGTCTCTGTGTGTTTATTCCTAGAATGTTGTTTGTCCTGACCTGACCACCCTGAAGTTCTAGAAAGCCTCGGACACGGTTTACAGCATCCGGATGCTGTCGGATGCTGCAGTTTCTATGGAATTAAAAATCATGTAGACAAATGCATGTGTCGTCTCATTTTAAGTACATCCTCTGAAATATTAGAGTGCTAGTGGCATCACTGGACCAGTGACCTATTTTTAGTTCTAACGAAACTTGTTTTGAAACCAACAAGCCACAGTCCATCCCCAGTTCAGTTTGGTCATGTTCAGTGTTTGCCATAGTGAGATGCGTGCACTAATACAATAATGTGGCACTAAATAACAAACAAATATGACAATAAATAAATAAAACAAAAAATTACACACCAACAGCAGAATGTCAACAATATCACTACTAATAAATTCATAATATAGAAATGCAAAACAGACTTATCTGTGCTCAACTGACTTATAGGTAAATCATGGAGAGTCACTTAGGTGCTCTTTGGTAAGAAAGTTTGAGATACACTTCATGGCCAAAAGTTTATGGACAGGTTCAGGTTTTTCAGGTACAACCCTTTGCTGACAGGTGTATAAAATTAAGCACATAACAATGCAATCTCCATAGACAAAGTACAGTGGGTTGTACTGAAGAGCTACGTGACTCTAAACATGGCACTGTCGGGGGATGCGACAAGTCAGTTTGTGGAATTTCTGTTCTGCTAGATCTGCCCCTGTCCACTGATAGTGCTATAATCATGAAATGGAAGTGTCAAAGAGCAAAACCACTCAGCCACAAAACGATCGACCACGCAAACTCACAGAGAGGAGCAACCAAGTGTTGAGGCTTTGTGACATCACTTACTACAGAGTTCCAAACTGCCTCTGGAAGCAACATCAGTTCGTAAAGTGTGTGTCGGGTGCTTCGTGAAATGGATTTCCATGGCTGAGCAGCTGCACGCCAGCCTACGATCACGTGTGTAATGCCAAGCGCTACCTGCTGGAATGCATGGAGCCAACAGTAAAAGCTTGGTGGAGAAGGAATAATGGTCTGGGGCTGTTTTTCAGGGTTTGGGCCGCTCAGTACCAGAGAATGGTAATGTTACATTACAGCATACAAAGACATTTTAGACAATTATATGCGTTCAACTTTATGGCAGCAGTTTGGACAAGACCCTTTCTGGCCCCTGTGCAGTGAGGTCCATAAAGACATGGCTTGGTGATTTTGGTGTGGAGGAACTCCAGTGGCCTGCACAGAGCCCTGACCTCAACCCCACTGAACACCTTTGGGATGAATTGGAACATTGTTTGCGAGCCAGGCCCTCTCATCCAACATCAGTGTCTGACCTCACAAATGCTATTTTGACTGAAATACAGATTCCACAGACACACTCCAAATCTTGTGGAAAGCCTTCCCAGAAGAGTGGGGCTGTTGTAGCTGCAAAAGAGGACCAGCTCAACATTAATGCCCCTGGTTTTGGATTGGGATGTCCAACAAGCTCATTGAGGTGTGATGATCGTGTCCACTTAATTTTGTCCCATACAGTGTATATAACCATAAATAAATGAAACAAAAAATTACACACCAACAGCAGAATGTCAACAATACCTCTACCAAAGAATTCTGAATATATAAATGTGACAGAGACACGTATCGGTGCTCAGATAACTTATGGCTGTCATCCACATTTGTATATGTCAAAAGTTGCAGTTTTGGAGACTGGTAAATAGCTTTTTTGTATTCGATCCTTTATGGTAGATGCTTCAGGACCAAATCACTATGAATAAGTGTTCAATTTGATTTAATCATTTGATTAATTTGCTTATTTTTTTAAGTGATTTACTAAATCAATTGTTGCTTTTGGAGAAAGCTGAACTTTTTGTTATGATCAATATTTTTCAATGAAAAAAAACAGCACTATTCTCTTCATTAGGGTCAGAGAAGCATCAACACACCTGTGAGTAAGACATGCCTATATCACCCTTTAAATGTCACAATTGACAGCAGCTTTTGATTATAAAGATATTTCAAGTTAAGTGTTCCTAAAGTCTTTGCATCCTTTGCTAGATTGTCATTTCTTAATTGAAAGAATGATCCAGACAAACTAGCTGAGCAGTTTAAATCTATGTGGTAGTGACAGTTGGACTTAAAAATTAGAAATGTATAAAAAACACATTCATAATTTCTGTGATGAAATATACCCCAAAAGTTAAAAGGAGAAGTCCACGCACTGCATTTCAAACGTCAAACAGATGATAAAATTCAACAAGAAAAATGTTTTTCAGGATAACAGGAACATGAAAAAGGACACAAAATTAAAACATTGAACAAAAATAGAGAAAAATAATCTCAACAGGTCAACACGCTCGTACAACCACTCATAACCTCACACGAGTCGAGAGAGAGAGAGAGAGAATGTGTGTGGTGGGGGTGAAAGGAGCCTCTCAAACACAGACTTGGTGAAAGCAGATATATGTTTATGCAAATTATATGTAAATTAGACAGTCACATACATATACAGTTGCTGATTCAACATTAGAAATCAAAACGTCTATAATGCAGACTTGGATTGATTCAGAAACCAACTGAACTCAGTGTCATTGCTGAGATACAGTCAACAAAGATAGTGTCCCTTACACACATCTTAATGATGTCAGCAGGGGTTGCTCTCTGTCAGACCTAAAGGCCTTGAAGGTCTCTAAATGGTCACCATTTCATCTAGTTATAGTGATGGAAATACCCAGTTCCAGATCCTGTAACATAGACTGCTGTCGTGTCTGGTAGGACAGACTGTAGATGGGCATCAACAAGTTCTTATCTCATGTCACAGCGCCCTTCTAACGGAACATGTCACAGACCTCACAGAGACATAAAGGCCAAAGGACTATTATTCCTAGGTGTAGGAGATACATTTTATATCCTATCTTAAAAAGATTTTAATCCTTTCACTGGGCTCACTAGCGGTCAGCTGTCTCTCCACTTTCCTGTTCATCTCTCACCAGAGGAGGCAAATCATTCAGATTTTACTTGGAGGACTGGGAGACACCAGGTCATTAAATGTACAAAATAGGCAGCGACTACATCCATTGCCACGCTGTAACGGTCCACGCTATTGAAGAACAGCCTTAAATGAACATCTGTAGAAATGTTCAGCTCAGCCCAGACCAATGTTTTGAGTGGGGCTGTGAACACCAGCCGAGCCCTGGTGCGCTAAAGAAGAGCAGACAGTCACATCTCTGACGCTATGTGGCCTTGCTGGGTACTACACTATATGTCCAAAAGTTTGTAGACACCTGCTCAACCAATGTTTATTCTGAAATCAAGGGTATTAATAGAGAGTTTGTCCCTAATTTGCTTCAGTTATAGCCTCTACTCTTCTGGAAAGGCTTTACACTAGACGTTAGAACACTTCTGTAAAGATTTGATTGCATTCAGCCACAAGAGCATTAGTGAGGTCAGGTACTGATGTTGAATGATTAGCTCCAGATCACAAACTGTTATGTATACTAATTTTCACTTGTTGTGTTACTCCAAAACTCAAACCAGAGAACATTTAAGACGGCAAACAGTCTCCATGAAAGAGAGATGCAAACTATGAGGTTTACAGTGAGAACTGGTTTCAAAGAGCTTCATTATAGATCAGTTTATTTGGTGTATCTTGATACCATATATACAGAGAATAGAAGCAAGAAAAAATAGTAATCCCTTTATGTTTCTGTCCCTCTTCCAGATACTCTTTGTCTGTTTTGATGTTTGCATGTTTTTCTGTCTTTCCTTCTAGAAAGATCATTTTCTGCATAATTAAATCCCATAGATCTCCCTGCATAATAAGAGTCTGAGATTAACCCAGTTTGATGCCACCATCAGAGTCATTATCATTACTGGGATGAATGAGAGAAGCTATTTCGGTCCTGTGAGCACACTAACATTAGATTCTTCAGACTATGCTGAACGTCAGATCACTATTATAGTGAATTCTGACAGACTTGCTGTATTTGGGCACTATATATATATATATATATATATATATATATATATATATAGGTGTAAATATCTTTTTGCAACCAGTGTTGCAGCAACTTCATAAGCATTAAAGACATTGTCTTTGATGTTGCTTTTCACTCTATTTTCTATTTTGGGCTTTAAGATGTGATTATGCATGTAATAATATATGTATGCTACAAAATGTAAGTAGAACATATACAACTCTCTAATTTTACAGCATCACACATGAGTGAAGGATTTACAAGCAACTTCCAGCTCCAGGTTTGGATATCCAATAGGATTCTTGCTCTAGAACTTCAGATAGAAATTGTTTGTTGGAATATTTGGAGGGCCAAAAAGATAACATGGCATATAAATAAAGAATGTCGGCTTCTTGAGTTTTTTAGAATACATTTTATAACATCACTCTACATTTTGTTACTAAAATACCTAAAAATACAAGAGACAATAAGAATATAACAAGTTAAATATAAATAAAATTACGTTTTTTTTAATGGGTGAGGGGGTGAGGTTAGGGCAACTTTCTGGCAGGCCAAATCAAATCCCATCACAGGCCAACTTTGCCCGGCGGACCACACTTTGGGCAGTGCTGTCCATAATGTGCACATATAGGGTTCAGGGCAAAGGTGTGTTCACACTACTGAGAGATACAGGTCACTTAAACACAAATGCGTAATCGATTCTCTTTTATAATAATAATAATAATAATAATAATAATAATGATCTTTATTTATAGAGCACTTTTAATACCAGTGGCAGCTCAAAGTGCTGACAGACAGGTGATGAAGTCTTCCTGGAGATTGAAGAATACAGATGATGCACAAAGATGGTGTGAGATTTTTAATAGCCATCATTGTAACATAATGTAATAACAGTAAACAGTCCAAGAACAGTTAGCATAATTTATACACTTAAACAGTTTATTCAGCTTCTTTGTTTATACACTTAAATGGTTTATTCAACTCTCTCCAAACTGCTGTTGCTTTAACTGACCCTAAGGTGGCACTATATGCCTGTTGGTCATACTGCTTAGCACTCAGTGCCCTGTTGGAGACAGAAACCATTACAATACTAAAATAAGCAGCTTACACTTACTCATATCATGAAACACCAACAGCAGCAGCTGTGTATCTTACCTGTGACTGGTGCTGAGGCTCTTTGTGGTGTGTGTGTTCTAGATGGTGGGAGCGTGTTTTTTCCAGAGGAGGGCTGGCTGCGTGTGAGAGCTTTTGATTTCACGCTGTGCACAGAGCTCAAATCTGGGAAAACACATTTATACAGAAAATGTGTAAATTTAGTGAAAAACTGCGTGAATTACTTTTTTAACTGCTCCACTCATAGACATCATTTTGTGAATTATTATAGCTGCCTTGTCAGTGTAACCCTAGCTGTACAACTACTCTTTCTGTCATTGCACACAGCATGCGGAAGAATATTTTGTAACGTTAGTTGTGCTTTGGACGGCATCCCTGTAAACCCAAAACCCAAAAAAAAAAAACAAGTATATAGGAAACCTTGCTTATAAAAGGAAAATTGAACTTCAAGAATAAAGCAATGACTAATTGTAGCTTTTCTGTTTTATTTGAGTGATTTTCTCTACTAATATTATACCTATTTAACATGTATTCACCTGTATTTAAGTGAATTATAACCACAGCAACTGCACTCTGTGTTACTTTGGGGTGGTGTGGTGGTGTTCAAAATTGCTAAACTTTAGAACCAGTCACTTAGAACAAGTATCATTTCTGCAGCTCAGCATTTGAAATGTGGTGAAAACCTTACCTTTGTACCTGCCTTTTAAGCTTTTGTGAAAATGTGTTTCCTTAAACTGACCTATAATGTACTACTTCTTATAATACACAAAAAGCACCAAGTGATCACTATAAACTTAAAATAAAGGGAGACTACGATTACTGACAGTTTCACATCTGGTTGCATACAGATAAACTGAACCACGAGATGAGAGCACTCTCCAATCAGCTGAAACTAAACTGAACGAATGAGTAAACAGAGTGTTTGTGTGTGTGTGTGTGTGTGTGTGTGTGTGTGTGTGCACGCAGTTATAATACCTGCTCCCTCCTCTTGCAGTGCCTGAGTGCGTATCAGGATCTCCTCTCTCTCTAGAGCAGCCAGGTATTTGGAGTAAGACCAAGACAACTGAAAGAAAAGCACTACAGTCTCACACACAAACTCTCTGTTCAGCACCCTCCTCACTACAGTGCTGTGCAAAAGTCAGAGACCACCTTTTAAATACAGGAGTTCTAAGATGAATACAAAGAAATTGGACTCCTAACAACTGTACCAAGACCTGGTAGACCACCAAAACTATCACCACAGAAAAACAGCACTTATAGCTTTCATTTATGAGAGAAAATCAAGCCCCACTCTTACTCTTAAAAAAATCAACAGGTGTTTCTATCCACCCTTCCATTGTGTGAAGACAACTCAACACTATGAGTCTGAAAGGATCTGTAGCTGTCAAGAAGCCGTTACTGAGAAAAGGACATAGGAAAAAAAAGAACATTTGCATATCAAAGACGGTGCTGGTGTTCTCAGAACAATGGACTGACAACCCCAGAGTCCAGACCTCAACATCACTTAATTTGGGATCACTTGTATTGTGAGAAGCAGAAAATGCAACCAACTTCTAAGACTGAATTGGAAGTGTGGAAAAATGAAAGGACAGAACAGAAAGGAAGCAGTAGTAAAGTTAGACGCCTTAAATACTGACAAATTAGTTGTTGAAGCTTCTGTGTAATTCTCTGTGAAATATATACTTTCTGTTTCTCTTATGAAGAACTTGTACTTAAAGGCTGTTCTGACTGGAAATTAAATAAATGGTCTCTGACTTTTAAACAGTACTGTACATCTCATTCTCACTCACAGCTCAATGGAACATGCAAGTGTGTTTTATAGATGTTCAATCAAGATCATACTTGTTTTTGTAAGTAGAAGAGGAGGTATTTTATTATAATTCGAATTTGATGAAGTCATTATTGTGTCTACAGTCTTGTTTTGCTGATGAAAAAATCCAATCTTTACTTTTTTGGCATATTTGTCATTTGTGAACATGGAAACAAATATGCAATTTATTATGTAATTACATTTAAATGTAAAAAAATTAATAGACATATCTACACTTTCAACGGTTGACATTCATCTGCATGCATAGACACCTGCCCCTGTCCCTGCCCCTAATTCTGCATGTCTGCAGTCCACTGCACTGCTGGATGGAGCTCTGACCTGCTGTCCTGCAGTGTTCACTCTCTCACACTCTTCTGTTTCTTCATCCTCCTCTCCTCCTCCATACATACTGGCTTCTTCTATCAGTCCTTCTATCACGCTGCCCCGCTCCCCCTGCAGCACCTGCATGTATGCACACACACACACACACACACACACACACACACACACACACACACACACACACAGAACATGTCATTTGAGCAGGGGTGTTCAAACTTTTGTATAAGACTGTTTATACAGTTCAGTGTCTCTCACACACACAGACACTCTTGTTTGTCTTACATTACTTGTGAGGACTTCCACTGACACACACTTCATACTATTGCAAGAGTGTCTCCTGATTCAAGTGCTTGATTGAAAGTTATTATTAAAAGTTATATTTTCAAAAAATGTAAAACATTTGGGAATTGGTTTGCCTCGCCTTTAACTGACATTTTTTGCCAAATATGAGCTCTGCATCATTCACAGTTTCCTAAATGTAACACAAAACAATAATTACAATTGCAGATGCACTTCAACGAATTATAGCTTTAATGCCAATATGGTGTAATGACTGGACAAACTTGCAAGTCTTTGCAAATATTGCGAGAAAATTCCTGGAGGGACTGTTCACACAAACACACACCTACATAGACACACTTCAGCGCAACACACTTCATAATTGCAAAACTCCACCCTGAGTATCACATGATCTGTCTTTAGAGATCACAGAAGCAAAAACAGTGCGTGCAGTGTGGTGTTACCGCTGGTGTCCCGTCATCCTGCTGATCCCTCTCTCTTTTCATCCGTCTCTCCCTCTCTGTGCTCCTCCTCTTCTCCAGCTCAGACACAACCTGCTCCTCAGACATGTTGCTCCTGAACTCCACAAACGCCTGCCAGTGTTTCAGGAGCTCACTGAACACACACATCTGTACACACACACATTTCCATGTTTACTGCAGTCTTATAAAACACAGCTGATGAAACCTCTTCCATAGACGTATATTGTATCGGTAATATGGACATTCTATAGAATTCAATATTGAGAATAATCAATGTTTTCTAATATGTTTTTCAAAATGCTCAAACTTAAGTCTGTATAGTATTTTGAACCCTGAAGAAAAGAAAAGGTTCTGGTGCAACATATAAAATCACTGTCAAGATAGAACATAAAATAAGTATAAATAACAATTACAAAAAATGTACACAGGTATTTTTTGAAGACTTTTCTCTATAATTTGAGTACTGAAAATGTCTAAATATCTAACCCTAAAATACATTTAAATAACTAAGCATCCCAATGCTCTGTGCTGTAGTGAGTGAATGGCTAGAACACTTCTCCTTCCTCATCCTCCTCATGTAGCAACTGTTTAAAGTTCAAGCCTTTGCTGCTAATGCTGGACTAAGGAAGAGCATGATCAAAACACATTATCAATATCCAAGAAAAAGATCATTTTGATTATCACTGTCCAGATGTACCTGAGCCTCTCTGAATATGTAGGGGCCAAGTGTGCTCCTGTTCTGCAGGATGAGCTCAGCCTGCTCAGGGGAGAGATGGATCTGCACTCTGGGGGGAATGTAGGAGTCGATAAAGCAGCTGATGATGGTGGAGACTTTCTGCTGTACGGTTGCCTCATCACAGTGAGAGTGACACAAATCCTATACACAATATGTAGTAGAATAATAGATTAAAATAGATTGTTTGAATGCAACTAAGTATGTATATATGATATAACTTGAGGTAGCCGTTAATGAGATTAACAACAATAAAAACATGGGACACTGCATCAGCATAAGTGACACTTTTCCCATAACTCTCTTAGATTTCTGTATGGCTCCAGCTGTGCCGTGATCAAGTGCAAGTGATGTTACTGCAAAATGTAAGCATCCAGGAGCAGCTCAGCCCTGAAGTGGCAGATACTGCATAAGGCTGAAGAAATGTCGACCTCAGGTGAAACAATCACTAACTTGCCTCTGGAAGCAAAACTCAATTACTAAGCAGCTGCATGCAAGTCAAATATCAACAGGCATAATGCCAAGCATCAACTAAAGTGCTGTAAAAGATTTTTGACTTTACAAAACAATAATGGTGGAGCGGTAACTGCAGGGCATCACATGTCAAAATGGTACAGAAAGAAAACTTTTCGTTTTTTGGATTTACCACTATTTTAACAATCAACAAGTAATTTTTACACTCATTTTTGTTTAGGTTAGATAAATAAAATAGTTATATTTGCATTGTAGACATCACAACCTCTGGTTCTTATCAGCACAACTGTAAAGAAATTTGAGTCAGTAAGCTTCTTTACAATGCATTATTTTACAGAAAACCACTCTGAATAATTTTCTTTACATCACAGCAACTAAATTATGCAGAAATTTTGAAAACTTGTTGGTTCAGATTAGAGTTTCAGTTTGGGTTTAGAATAAAGGCAGCTGTCACCTTGTATCTCTGCACCTCCAACCAGAAAAGGAGGTCGTTTTCCAGCAACTCGCCTCTCATTGAGAGAAAGAGGCGGAAGTGTAGGCAGGTGATGGGATTGAGCAGTGCCCTGCGCAGGGCCAAGACCTCCTGAGACGAGTTCATCAGCCCCCCGTTCACCTGCTGCACAAAGAGAGAGAAGTTACAAGAGAAAACAGCTTCGCGCTGGTTTCTGAGAAGAGAGGTGTGGAGAGAAGAGCAGCTTAACCCACCTTCCACACCTGCCTCTTCTTTTTGTAGCGGAGAAACAGCTGGTCTTCCACCACATCCCCGAGCTCAGCCTGCAGGAACACGGGAACTGGATTAAGAACTGGATGAGTGTGGTACACGTTAATGCATTTCTACTCATGTTACAAGAGAGGTACCACCTTTTTTTGTTCTTCCTCTTGTTCTCCCCATCCACTCCCTCAGTAATAGTGTCATGCAGAAGTAAAAAGGTGGCTCATTAAGTAATGAGGAAGGTGTTGTGTTGCTACATGAGCAGTGGAGAGGGTCATTAGTAGGTGTAATGTTTAAAACAGGTGTACTATTTAAAGCAGATGTAATGCCCTTCACAAATGCACCATACACAACACTCCATGATGTAGAAGTAACATAATCCAGGTAGATAATCTGAGAGAGGTTATTTTAGGGTTTCACGCCACACAACTGATCACAAGGCAAGAGGCACTTACAAGCACTCTAGGGCTTGTAGCACTCTAGGCACTCTATTCTTTTATAACTAACAAATTGTTACAAAACAAATTAGTGCATAGAATTTTCTATTTTTATCATAATTATAGTATAGAGTACATATTTAGAAGTAGAATAAAGAGAATTACAGAATCTGATGCAAGAAAAATCAAAAACCTAGGTAAATGTGATGCTTCCAGCAGTGTAGAAGGAATAAAATTTGGGGAATTCAGGGAATTTTTAAATGAGGGCTGAAATATTGGGTTTTGTCATATTGTATAACACGTGCCATGCATACAGGCTGTAATGAGCACCCCCAATTCATTTTATAAGTTGGTACTTATCAGATTGAACTGTCGACAGAGCACTGATTTCATCAGACTAACTTGCAGGCGGAGCTCTAATTAGATCAGACTCACCTGGCAGGTGCAGCTCTGACTCCATCAGACTCACTTTTCAGTGGAGCTCTGACTGGATCAGACTCACCTGCAGGTGCAGCTCTGACTCCATCAGACTTACTTTTCAACGGAAATACAGGCATAACTCTGATTGGATCCGACTCCCCTGTAGGCGGAGCACTGATCAGTTCAGATTCACCTGCTGGCAGAGCCCTGATTGGATCAGACTGACCTGTAATTTCTGCCTTGTGAAGAACTCTTCGCTGGAGAGGAACAGCGGCAACCATTTTCTTTCAATACGGCTCCTGACCAGGGACTGAACTTCGGACAGCACGGACATAGAGAGAGGCTCACGCTGTAAACGCGCCCAACTACCAGCCAGACGCAGCAGCTACACACACACACACACACACACACACACACACACACACACACACACAGTTTTATTCAGTTATTCATTTAGTTATTCACATATACATTCACACATTTTTGTTTGTGTGGTACCTCAGTCTGTTGCTGCTTATTTGCAGGGCTGCTGGGGCCAAACAGATATTTGCGGCTGAGGTACTGAGTCCTGATGTTCCTGCACTTCTCCTCCCACACTGCCGCATCATTAGGGGTTCTTTTCAACTGCTCAATATCCAACCAGCACAGCAGGTCCATACTACACACAAGCACACACAAACAAAAAACTAAATGAAAATCTACCGTCATATCCACACTGCAGTGGCTACATATACAGAGTTTCAGAGAGCACCTAGCAAAGTTTTCCTCCAGAAATGCCAGGAAGTGCTGGAGTTCCATTCGATTCCGGAGCAAAGTGCCCAAACGGTAGCGCTGGAACTGATGTGGAACCTGGGCCCAGGGGTCAGGATCTTTAGCCCTCTTGGCTGGTGGTGGTGGGGGCCTATGCTGTTGTGCACACTAAACAAACGGAGAGTGAACATACTAAGCATCCAGCACAGCTGAAAATACAAACAGCGACAGATTACTGAACTACAGGGTCAGTCTGTCAGTCCTCTTAACAGCTGAGCCACAACACTTCTCTGCTCATTTACAGTGTGAAAGAAAGTGTGACCTGCTGCTGTCGGTACTGTGTTTGTGTGTATAGGCTCTGCAGTGTCTTATAGAGGTCAGGTTCCACAAAGCGCTCCTCCTCCCACACAGCTACCTGCAAACGCACACACACACACACACACACACACACACACACACACATAAACAAGACAAAGCCAAGCAAACGCTCATACAAATAAAAAAATGGATAAAATATATATTAGCACTAAGGATATTATATAGATTATCATAAGCAATGACTAATTGTGCTGAATAGCCAATTGCCTTTTACTTTCAATGTAGCATTATTATTTGCTCCTGGACCAAACTGGTATTTTAATTTCACAAATGAAACATTTATGTTGAGTTGCCTATTTTAATAACATGAATTGAATATCATTATTTTTGCTGCAATATCTATTATCTATATCTATAATATTTATCTAATAGAAAGTACTGGAAATATGCTAATGTGTTTGATGTGTTCACTTAGCCCCCATATTAAAAAAGGCTCATAAAAATGGCTTTTGGCCAATTTGCTGATCAGAAGAATCAGCCTTTAAAATTCATGATCAGTACATCATGATACATGAACACATTTTTATGATACACATGGATACATATGGAGTTTGCTAAGTTGGAAGAGACATAATGCACCAGTAGTGCTACAAAAATGCAAATTTATCAAAACTCTGAGTGCACTGAGTAAAGCTTTCCACATACTGTGCATCACTGCATCCATTAAACAGCACCAGTTATACTGTCATGGACTGGAGAACCCCAGCTAACTCTATTTTTAATTAAACAATGACATATTATTGCCATGGTTTCACCTCTACTTTGGAAAAAAAATTACTGTGGTAAACCTGGAGAAGCATATTTAATCCCAATTTCATTTTCCATGTTAAACATGTCACTGAAGCTTATTGTGTTTTTATAATCAATTATCCGGATGAAAAACAATACCAATATATTAAAACTGCATTGATTCATTTGTGGTGTCCTACTTTGTGGAATGTGCTCATGTCCTGGTGGGTGAGTAATGTCCATGGCTCAAGAAGCAAGGAGAGTATGTGCTCCTCTGCTTCATCAAACAGGTCCTCAAATGGAGGGATCAGATGGGTGAAGAGGTGCTGCCTGCACTGTTCCCCCAGACCCACACTCCTCCCAGCGACACTGCACACGTATGTAGCATACAGCAGCTACAAAAGAGTGAAATAAAATTCTACAGTTACATACTAACTGACGTGATAGAGTGATACTGGAACAGATAGATAAAATGATGCCTTATTAATCCTAAAAGAGACTAATGCAGAGTTAAAGCAGCAACAACAGAACTGTGCAAACACAGAGATCGTGACAGTTAAAGTGTTTAGTTAGATCGGTTAGAAGGTTGTAGAAGTGATGGTAAATGGAGGAGAAAAGGTGATACAGGAGAGTTAGTGTTGGAGTGATAAAGGGAGTTATGTGTGATGTGTGATAAGCGTTATATTAGTGTTTAGTTAGGGTAGGGTAAGGTTAGGCTTAGATTAGACTATATTTAGGGTCAGATTAGGGTTAGATTTGTGTAATGTTAAGGTGATATTAAGGTAAATTTAGGGTTACATTAGGATTAGATTAGTGTCATGTTAGGGTAAATTTTATAATTTGATTATTTTTAGGTTAAATAAAATTACGGTAAATTTTGAGTTACTTTAAGATTAGTGTAACATCAGTGTGAGATCATGATAAATTTTGGGTTAGATTAGTATTAGATCAGTGTCAAAAATTAGGGTAACATTTGCAGCAGCTACACAAAAGGGTTAGATGATTTATGGAAGGGATGCTGATTTAGCTGACATTGAAAGATCAAATCAATGGAGCTCACTTCGATCATCTGGCTATAATTATCCTCTTATGAAAAACTCCACTCTATTTATTCTGTTTGAGTTCTACTTCAGTACCTGGGCCTTGTGCTGTACTCTGTAGGGATCCAGAGTGGGTTGATAAAACAGCTGATGGTACTCCTGCAGCTCTCTGTAGAACTGAGCTGCATTCATCCATAGCTGTAAAGAGGGATAAATGAAGTACAGCCTTACTGCTAAGCACTACCAAGGACTTCAACTTCATCTAAATATTCTAAAACATCTGAACATGAGTGTGGTCTCTTAGCACACCTGGTTCCCAGAGTTTTGACAGAATTGTGTAAAGAAGAACCCAGCCTTAGACTCTACATACAATGCCTGCACCATCCTCTCCATCTCACTGCAGTGACTGCCACACTGTAAACACATGCAGAGATCATAAACAATAAACTACGTACCACTCAAGTACCATACCAGTCAAGCATCTCTCTGTGTCACAGAAACTGTAGGACCACGCACACTATGTGGAAACACACAGATATCATTCATACTCATGGGCCTCGTACCACAGAAGAGGCCTGTGATGGAAAATAGCAGGCAGAGTGCAAAAGTAGAGAGCTGGGGTGGCGGGGGCAGGAGTCTAGCCCCAGCAGAGAAAGGTGGCAATCCCAGCATAGCCACAGAAACGTTGTGCTCTTCCTTTTAGTATGCAAGTGGGACATAATGAATCGCTGACCCCTAGAACATAACATAGGACATATTAGGCTATGTTCACATTCATACAGCGGAGTGAACATAAAAATCAGAAATTTTCAAAACAGATTTGGGCCATGTACAGTAAATCAGATATACACAGCCAAGGTTCAGACTGGAATTCATATAGGTTTGATTTTCTTCAAAGTAACACTTCACTACACATGTGCATATCAAAGCTGTCATCATCCAGTGTCAGGATCCAGATCTGAGCCAAAAAAATAAGGTTTGTAATGTAATCTCAAGGCTAGTATACATACTGTTTAGGGGTGTCCTAACTTAACCGCAAAGGACTGGTATGTTTGCAAGTTCATTCCAACAAAGGAATGAAAAGGAACAGTATAATTTCCATTCAGGTGCTTATGTATACAGTTGTGACGCTGAGGCTCACCAGTAGAGCAGCAGGACCTCAGTGACACGTGGCTGAACAAGGCGCAGTCTGTCCTCTGTCCAGCAGGGGGGGCTGGTAAGATCCAGTCTGGAGAGGAACTCCATACTCAACGCTGTGGGGCTACTGCTCAGCAGGTACTGATTTTTCATCCAAACTAAATGCCTTAACACAGATCTACATTCAGTCTGAATCGGAGAAGTAGGCACCCATATTTGCTAGGTAAAAGCAGACTACATTATGAGACTTAATAGGGTTCCATGAGGATTAAATGAATGTATAAACAGAGAAAAAAGAGCTTTTTGGCATGTGTAGTACCTGTTCCTGGTTTCTAGGTTGTGAAGAGTTTTCAGGCGCTCTATGTCCATCCACAGATTTAGTATTTTCTCTCCAGGTCGGCCAAGCAGAAAACTCTTAAAATCCAGAAAGACTTGTCTGCTGCCACGGACACTTGTATTAGCTCTTGTCTCTGCGGTGTGCTCCATGTCTGCTTGAATCAGGCCAGACAGGGCAGTGGAGGCAGAGGCCTGGGGCTTCGGCTTTGTGAGAGGATCAAGTGAGAGTGTGCAGTTTCCACCTGTGACATAGTGAGGACAGGCTGTAGTATGTAGGTTTGTTTGAGCATTCTTATCTGAGACTGGGAAGATTTTACAGTGTTTCCTTGCAGCACATTTCCATTTACTTAAAGGCAGTTCCAAGCTCATTTCCCTCTCTTTCTCCATCTCTTTCTGCATCTCTGCAATATTCGTCTGAACTGGAGTGGGATCCAATATTTGATCACTGAGCTCAGGAGGAGGTGAAGGACTTTGTTCTCCGCAAAGCTGGGTCAAGTGGAGTCCTGGTAGGCTCACTTCAACCTCCACAACATCAAGGTCTAAAGAAAGAGAGACCATGTTGGACAGACAGATAAGAGATGGGGTTCTAAAAGGAACCTTTGCAGGCAAAAGCTCTCTGTCCTTACTCATTTGAAAGCACTAAAACCTATGAAACATAGAAAGCATTTTGTAGACCTGTTCTTGTAAAGACTGGCATCAGCATTGAATTGTTAAGACATGAAGTTAAATCATGAGATGTTTGAGTCTGGGTTATTTTTGTCTTTCCTTTAGTTGCCTCCACAGGTCTAGAACTGATGGTTAGATGCTCTATGTGGGGAGAACTGCAGTCACTGCTGGTGTCTGAGTGTCCCGTGTTGAGAGAAGTGGCACACTGGCAAGGGAACCCCAAAAAAAAGTCAAATAATCAACAACATGATTTAATGCACCAATAGCACTGCTAATCTGTTTTTACTGCACCAATCAAAGCTGCCATATTCCTGTACTTACTCTTAAATTTAAAAGACAGAGAAGAAAGTAAATTGTCAAAGATTACGTGGGTGTGCTCTTTGTACCTCATGCTTGGGTGATGTGCCTGAGGGGCTGCATGAAGATTCCTCTCTGAACAGCTTCTGTTTTGTACTGGCCAGCTGACACAGACATGAGGCCAATCTGAGGAAACACAGAATGAAATAAGATTACAGGAGATTAAGATTAGGCTGACTGCTCAAAGCCAAAAATGAGATGTAGAGAGTATGCATTAATCTAGGTGTTGAAGCCAATGCAAAGCACTGAATCTACATTTCCTTGAACCCTGCTGTATAACACTGTCTTAAACATGTGATTAACATCTCATGGCAGATGCCATATGCTGTTGTCATGAGTTGTCATGATGGGTACTGTTCAGTTATATAACAGTGTCAGATTACAGTTACTGATAATTGTGATTACAGATGTCAGAATGTTTGATGTTATGACTGCTGACTAAAGTATGCTTAACAAAAACTACCTTGTGACATAAGCTGTCATGACAGGTTATGTTTAAAATAACACAATGCCGTTACTTTACTGAACAAAAGCTGTCAGGAGAACTCATGACAGCATATTGAACAAAACAAAACCTCATATTCCCAAAACATACTTTGCTTTTAATGTAAGCCTAACCAGACTTTATTTTCCAAGTAATTTTGGGCCATTTTTTTGGGTCCATTAAGCATGAAATTTACACACAATGTAAAGGGCAACAGATACTTTCAAATTATGTCAAAAACTGGGATACGAGATATTTTGTTCTGACAGCAGCAACATGATATCTGCCACAACATGGTTAATATTATAAAGCAGGGTTCAAGTAAACTGTCACCATTTTTTCTTTCTCATTTCATGATAACATACACTAACCAGGTTTTTATGTGCAAATATTTGTAACAGTGCTACCTTTGGAATAACGTTAAACTCTACACATTTAGCCCCTTGTGATGTCAGCACTCGTCAGCACTCATCAGCACTCAAACCTCTTAGGTGTTTAATTCATATTCATATAATTTTGTGCAAAAGATATGTAGTTGTAACAACAGTTTAAAAAAAAAAAACTGTTCAATCATTATTTAGGCAAAACCTGTTTTTTCATAGCCAGAGGTGGGCAAAATACTCTGAAAATGTAGTGATGGGTGAATACTGAAAAATAGTTCTGATGGGTGATGAAAAATAGTTCACTCAGAATCTGGATCGCTAGAATTGTGTTCTGGCATTCAAATGTCTACAGAAAGATGCTGTGTATGGTCCAAAGATATTATAGAGGCTAACACTGAAATCATTGGTGCTCGTGGTGTGAAACTTACTGAGACAATGTAGCTGTTGTCCACTAAAGGTCTAGTTGGGAACCATGCTGGATCTGTGCTTTTTTACTTCAGTTCACTCATGTATTCCATTATAATGTATTATGTACTAAATGTATTCAGCAATGTATTCCATTATTATGCATAAAAAAGAAACTTTTTTTTTAATACATTTAGAATACTTATAAGTCACATGGCAAAAACTTTTTTTCCCTTAATTCACACTATTCCTCACTGTTAGTGGTTGGCAGTTTTCTCTGTGTACGTCTTCTGTTAATACGTTTCATGAAAAATTTGCTTATCATTTAAATGAAGTTCTGAAAATTCTCAACATTTTTCTTCTCTCATCACCTGCTTAAGTCTATTGCTGCTCCCACAATCACCATTCCAGTACAGTACAACGCTGATACTAAGCTTATCACTTGCAAACATGTCCACTATTGAGAAGATTGTTAGTTAGAGCACAGTAATGCTGAGATAAATAAATAAATGTGATGATCCAGTTACCAGTCTACTCAGGCTTTAGTAGAAACTTCTGTGCTTGTAAAGAAGCAGTTAATTAAGGTCCATATTTGCTTGATGCCGTGTGCTGATTTTCAAACTAGTTAATTGTTTTTTTACTTTAATTTTTTAGTGGGTAAGTATTCTAAAAGTATGCCTTTGCAAAATGTAACTTGGACTGAATACTGAATATTTCTGTATTCTGAATACGTAGTCCCGATACTTGTATACCGTTACATCCCAAACCTGTCCATAGCAAGGAAGACACTTGGATGGACATGAAGCTGAGTGTAGCAAAAAACACGTGTACAAAAGTATTAGCAATAGATATTTGCAAGTGTTCCTTATTTAATTGAAAAATAACAGTGAGACAATTAAATTTTCAAATGAAGGCAAAGTGTCCCTAAACCTTTGATGAGCAATGTATGAATAAGTAAAAGCTAGTCAATAGAGAAAACTGTCTGACCTGTACTCAAAGTAACAATCGCTCTGGAGGAAAAAGGGCAGTCTCTCTCTTCTGATCCACTGCATGGCCTGCACTTGGTCCAAACACTACAGAAAATAAACAACAGTGATCTTGGTGATGAAAAATAGTTCACTCAGAATCTGGATCGCTAGAATTCTGTTCTGGCATTCAAATGTCTACATAAAGATGCTGTGTATGGTCCAAAGATATTATAGAGGCTAACACTGAAATCATTGGTGCTCGTGGTGTGAACTTACTGAGACAATGTAGCTGTTGTCCACTAAAGGTCTAGTTGGGAACCATGCTGAATCTGTGCTTTTTTCCTTCAGTTCACTCAGTAGAGCCATGATCTGTGCAGAGAGACTCTCGGCTGCATCCACCCCCACCTCAAACACACCTCTGTCCCTGTTATACCTGATGGGCTCCAGGAATGACTTACAGAGAGATAAAACACACCTGTGCATTATGTCCCACATTCTACTGGTGTGTCTTTTTTCGCTGTGTATTACAATACAACAGTAGGCTCCCATAAGATCAGTGCCAAATGGACAGGCTAATCTAAAATCTTTCCTTTCAGTGTTTTATCTTCCATATTTTCAGTTCCATATTGCCTCTATCCAAAGAAAAAAACAGATTTTCCCACCCCCATACACCATATTTGCTTTTTGTGTGACAAATAAAACTGAGAAGTATCCTTATCAAACTAACCACCCTATTCTCTGTTATCAAAGTTAGACCTTCTACCATCAGTTTTTAACAGCAAATGAAATTGCTTTTCTTCACAAGCCGTTTTCTCTGTGTATTTTGTGTGATGGGGTAGATATGCTATGCCTGATAGACCCTGGCAAGGATGGAAAAAAACAAATGATCAACGCTGAATGAAAACACAATTTAGCAGCATGTCTCCTCTGACTTTGGCTGTAATGATGTCACTTACTAGACATCATGCCACTTAATATAACTGTACATTATTTTTATGTGAAATAGGTTGGGGTGACAGGGTGGAACTCAAGGACATTTGGATTTGATTTTGTAGTGTTAATATGGAAACATAAACATAGCAAAGGTGCAATGCTAACACAGCTTTTAATGCACAATATTTGAGATTAAATGAACATATATAAATGACTATGTACAGTAGTATGCAAAAGTTTGAACACCCTTATCCAAATGACATGTTTTGTTGATTTTCTAGGTGAAAATACATTACACATCCTCTACAGAGAACACATTTTTCTGCAATTGTTAGTGAATTGTTTCTGTTTATTTGCTGAGTTTAACATTTTGGAAAAAATTAAACATGAAATAGAAAATAAATAAAACAAGCCGCAACTTCGGCTTATGTTTATTCCCCTCTTTATTTCCCCTCAATATGTTAAATTCAACAAATAAACAATGCATAAAAATGTGCAGACTTGTGTTTGAATGTGTTCAACTTGACCGGGTTGCCGCCGCCGCCGCCTCTCTCTCTCTCTCTCTCTCTCTCTCTCTATATATATCTATATATATATATATATATACATACGTGCTATCCGGTTTTATTAATTACTGTACAAATACTTTTTTAATTAATATGAAAGAGTTATTAGCTTACGTTTTTTTACAGTGTCAGGTACTGCAGAGTGAAATGGTGCTCTTTTGTAACTGACTGAGCTGCTGCAGTACAGACTCTGTGTTCCCTCTCACTCACCGGCAGCAGCAGAAAGGCGTTGAGAAACTCCACTAACATCGAGTCTGAGGACAGTCTCTCCTCCTGAAACACCAGAACAGAGACCACCATAACGCCCAACAGAAGAGAAACTGCATAAGTGAAAGGTGAACTGAAACGGGACGGGCTACTCACAAAATTCTCGCTCGTTATTTCTGGCAGGTCTGTGTGAAGAAGGCTCGGTTAATGGATTAAGATCTCGTAGAGAGTAGGTTAGCTAATCTAGCTAGGGTAGCTAAGGTTAGTTAGCTGCGGCGCTCTAAACTCACCTGGAACCGCTTCACTCCGCATTCTGGAAATAACAGACAACACGAAGCGCCGCGCACAGCTTCAGGACAATTTCCATACATTTACACTCTTCGGTCTGATCTGCTTACACACCGTCTGTCTGATCCATGTGATTCACACCCTCAGTTTAATCTGAATCAATCTCTGTGATCCGCTTCAGCTCCGCGCACCTTTCTGTTCAGGGTCACCATAGAGACCAACTCAGCTACAACACTGAGCGCACTTCACTGTTACTCCAGTAACTAACTGCACTGTTTACACAGACACGCCTCGGCAGACTTAAATTAAAAGGTTAAACACGGACACTTTCCCATCACATTATAAATTGATTTTCAAAATGTCCGCATATAGATCTATGAAATGCACCAATCTAGAGAAATTCAATTTACCGAGTCAGAATTGTTGAAAACGGTGGCGATGGGAAACAGACGGCTTAAGTGTCGACGGTGTTTAATTCAGTTAAAAGTTCCTTCATATTAAGCCATTTTATGAAATTATGTTACATGCTGAGTTACTGTTTTACAATAGTTTTGAGAAGTTATTGGCTCAAAACAGATTTTTTGTAAAAAGAAATTCTGGGAAGAGACGTCTCATTACAGAAACGTCACTATTTTACCACAGTAAGCGTTATATATTAAAAGCTCTGGTTCGCTGGTCATGTTTGGATAGTAAATAAAATGGCTTTATTTGTTGTAGGTTGCAACTCCTGGTTCCCATCACCACCTCTAAAGAAGTCAGTAAGTTTGTCTGCCATGAACTCTTGCATCACTATGATTGAATTATGCAGTGCTTTTGAGAAACTGGTGGAACAAATGTACGTATTGTTTTAAATCAGAACCTTTACAAACCATCTTAGAATATTATTCAGTGGGCAAATACAAAAGTTAGGCCACACCCACACACACCCCACACACACACACACACACAAAAATGGTGGAACAACACTTTGCTTTTCCTTTCTCTCCTATTAGACAGGCAGAAATTCAGCCGTACCACAAGATGGCAGTATATAGCTGACAATGACAGGCTCTAGATAGTAATAAAAGGCTTTATTAAAATGATCTGTAAAAACTGTAAAGGCGTATCGTAGTGTAAAGAACAATATGTACACACAAGCATATACACAGAACCCCACAGAATCAGAAAAAAGAGACTGTACATAAAACTGGGCACTGAGGAGAGCCAAGTTCATTTGTGCAATAGCTGATGTCAGGGCAAACGCCTCAGAGATTCATAATTAAAAGCAACACACACATAATCCACCAAAACCCAAAGTCACACATACATACGTACAAGATCATCACATTCACAATCTCCTCACGTTGCGCTTGCTCTGGGCACTGCCAGGCAGAACGTCCTTCCTGCTCCTGTTTTTAGTGCTCAGATGAGCACAGTCTCTGGAGCCGTGGTAGGAACACAGGCAGGAGGTGCAGAAGTGGAAGAGGCAATCGGACCAGCTGCAGATGCCCTCCCCACGCACCGCATGACAGCGAGCAGGGTGCTGGCAGCGTGGACACTGCTTCAGGCACTCATCACTGAACAGGGTTTTGGCCACCTGAAATGAGCAAACAGAACTTTGTGATCTAATATGTAAAATTAAACACCAGTCACTCTTACGATCAACTGTTTAATTTAAAAAAATACAAATCAGAAGGGAGATGGTGAGTCAAGCTCAGTTACAGTAAACTGCATGCAACACTGAACAAAGCCCAGTCATCAACAGCTGCAGTGCAGTCTGGATTTGTAAGCAATGCTGTTTACCTCCCACTTACTTTGATGCAGTTTTTAGGCTTTGAATTTTAACATTTAATTATGAGCATAATATAATGTCAGCAATGTTACTAATACTAGTAGTTATAAGTAGAAACATAATGTTTACAAACAATACATCTGCATTTCTGCCCACACCTGTAGGAACTCCTGGCGTTTGGTGCTGGAATGAGGAGTCAGATGCTGTAAGGGGGTGTGAGTCCTTCTGGCTGCAGGAGTGTGTGTGAGAGAACTTGGGGTTTTGGCTTGGGCCTGGACGCTGCTCAGAGCAGATCGACATGCTAGGTTCAACCTGGTCTCAGCGTCCAGGACACGAGCTGCACTGCCCATCTGAAACAAAGGACAGTCAGTACACACTTGCATCTTTTTAGTACCACCTAAGCTTGTGATCACATGACTGTGAGCTCACCTCAAGTGCTACCTTCCTCTCCTTCTCATACATCTTCCTCCTGCGGCATGCCTTTTTATCTTGCAAGATAATTTCATCCCAGCTATCAGACACCTGGCCACATCTGGAAAGGTATTAAAACAGACATTTATCAATTTTACACAGCTACACTTAATCAAATGTGCCTGGAAGAATTATTTATAGTAGTGGGAAAACATATACACCAGGGTGGTTATCATTGTTAGAAATTAGCCCAGAAATGTATTCTCCCAAAAAATGAGCACACACCTGAATACTATCAAAACTATTTAACATTACAAAATCACCGTTGCATTGCCATTTTCGTAAATGCAATCAGTGAATCAGACTTTTTTTTAAATAAAACATTCCAGTTTCACACAAGTCTGATCACCAAGGCAGCACATTTTCCCCACCCATAACTTACATGTAAATGTCCTGTGGGGATAGCAGCTTAAGGATGACGGCCAGCACATGGTGAAGGTTCCTCTTGCTGAGCTCAGTGAGGATATCCAGCTTACCCAGGCCCATCTTCCTGCCAATGAGGCCAGAGAGGGGCAGGGTGGTTCTGATGGACCCATCAAGGGTCGAGACCCGAAGCAGCTTTTCCAGGCTGTTGTTTTGGGACAGAATGCGCTTACTGCATCGGCTCATGGCATGCACCATCTGAAGGGCAGGGGGTGAGGGACAGATCCTGTAGCTTGACTCTAGCAGCTCCTACTGGTGTTGCCTCCAGGAAAACTTCTTCATCCTTCAGGCCCTGTGTGTCCACCTGCTGGGCTCTGGGCTCCTCTTCTGACTGGGAGCCGCCCTCCCTCAGCGTAGACAACCTGCGCTGGCGGTCCAGCCGCGAGCGCCTCTTCTCCCTGCTGTGGGATGCCGATGGCAGCACCACATCCTGGAAAGAGACTTCATCTATGGAGTAATCCTGAGACTTATCTAGACCTAGAGAGCTGAAGCCACTGTCTTCTGATGCAGAGGCGTCTAACTTTGAAATCGGAGTGCAAGATGGTGTGCTTAGGACACTCAAACTCTCACAAAGATTTGCTGCCAGGCAGTTAATGGGAGTCTGGAAGTTTTCCTTTGCCAACGGGACATAGTTACTACCCTGGGGCGTCTCAGGCATCTCTGGAACAAGCAGACCTGATATAATGCTCTCGTTAAGGTCAGGTTCTGAAAGAGAAACCACCTTCCCGCAGCACAGGACTGGTCACTCCACTCCTTCCACTTTCAAGAGTTGAGGTTATTGCTTGAGAGAACAAGAGTCGTCGTTTCCTACAAGACAAAGCCATGGCCTCAGTTTTTAAAGTGCTGTAGGACAGGGGTCCTGTCGGACTCATGTCTGGAGAGTCAAAGCTCATGCTGCCCACATAGCCATGTGTGCCAGATTCTCTGCAGCCTGGCGTTTTAGAGCCATTAGTCTTTCCATCTGTGGCCGATTTGGACATGAGGAGGCGTCTGCGCAGCGAAGCATCCTTTTTGGTTAATTTAGGAGTCTCACACCAACCTGTTTGTAGTGAGTGTGGTTTCTTAAAGTCTCTTTCCAAGTCTTTTGGTCTCTCCAATCTGTGCAAATTAAAACATGAGCTTTGCTCATGGTTTTCCTTTGGAGTTTCAAGTGTACTATCCAAGCAGATGGACTCCTGACCGCTGCCTCCAGAATCCCAGCTGCCCCTTGGTGTGTGTAGATCTGTGCGTGCACTCTTAACCCTCTCATTCCTAGGAGTGTGAGGTGCCATGTGAGTACTGGGGTAGTGGGGCTTCAGGATGTGCAAGTGCTTCAAACCGTCCAGCGGTGGTCTCCATGACTCAGTTTCACTGAGCTGCAGGTGGCTTATTCGCCTGTTGTGGGATTAGAACATACAAAATAGCCTTCGCGGATTACATAAATGCTAGCAGACAGAAACAAAACTGCACAACAACTCTATACTCACACAAAAACGGTTAAACTCAGTTCAACTGCACGGCGTCTAAATAAAGCCAAGTCAAAAGGCCTAGTTTTCAAGTTAAAGCCGATTCAAAGAATCATTTAAAATCATAATTACCCGTGATTAGCGCGGCAGAGTTTTAAATAAAGGCGCTGTCCGTGAGTGTGAAGTGTTCTGAGTAGCTCCTTTAGTGTACAGAGTACTGTCAGCAGCTCTGCAGGTGAGCTTTCAGCAGATTTAGTCTTTCTCGCTGGCTCTGTCTTGGCAGTATTGAACCTAAACAGCTCCGTTATTATCCGTTACAGTCTCCACGGTAACGGGCCGCGTGCTGCTCTCCGCGCGGTTTCGAATTTTGCGCCTTTTAAACCCGATCCTCCCATTCGCGCGCACACTGACACAAGACGCGCCAAACCCGAGCACAGTAAACAACAACCAAATCAACCACACAACCCAACTAAACACAAAAAACAACCTCACATCCTCCAAACACACACCGAAATCAGCCACCCAACGCTAAAAACGGCCTGCCTTCATACTCTGAAGCATCCAGACTAAACCAGCTAACCTAGCTCACTGCAGCCGGACCACACAGACAAAACGAAGCAGCGTCTGATTGCTGTTGAAAAAAAGAGAGCTAATGGGTAAAATAAACCAGTCAAATCAACAAACATGTACGCGACACCGGTAACTAAACGAAAAGCTGACTAAATTCAAGGCAGCTGCTAAGACCACAGCCAAAAACTACATATGAACTTAATTTCCTGACGTAATTTAATTCAAATTCATAACTAGCAAACAATTCTCAGTCTAACATACTTACATTCTTTAGGACTGGTGGAGAGTAGAATTTGCTCAGGAACAAACCATAACTAGCAACATTTTCCTCAGAAAACTAAAAAAAACATAATAAATCTAGTTACTTACAGAAACAGAGGGTTTAACTGTGATTTCCCTGCTGTCGCGTTTATGCGCCTCTCCAGCACTCTGACCCGGAGCTACAAGAGCACAGGGGTTTGGAATGGCTTGGGGGTGAGAGGGCGAGATGGCCGTGAGTATTTATATGGATTTGAGGTATTTTTTCTTTAAAAACTAAAATAAACACCCGGGATGCTCAAAGCACACTTTAAATAATGTACACAGTTTAATTGAATCCACACTGCATATGCGCATTAGAGCTCTGAAACACAAAACTAATTCATTTTGAAATGCTGCAAAATAAGTTTTTTTAAGGAAAGTACAATTGTGTGTGTAATATTTATCAACGAAAATCACATATTATTTACCAACGTTTCAACTTACAATTTGCTACAAAAATATCATATTATATAAACGTGTATTCCAGGACATATATTTAGGCTTGGCCTTTAACCAATAATGAACGTCTTAACAAAACGTTTTAGTGTATGTCATATGGGCGTGTTTCACCCGATGACGCGTTTCCGTTTCATTTAAGAATTATTTGTATTTTTTGGATTATTATTATAAATGATTATAAAACTTTAATATTCACTCTTTAACCTATATAGTTTTGCTACATCCACTCAACATTGATGCAGCCCTTTGTGTCTTCTGTGTTTTCACCTGTATTCTGTTAACTTCTATTAACTGTGTCTTTGTGGCTAATAAAAATATGTTGTTCACTAAATGTTTTGTGAAACACAAATCGTCGTTATATGAGACTACATTCATAAAGTATGTAGAGCAGTGGTCACCAATCCTCCTCCTGTAGAGTTTAGTTCCAGTGTGTATCTAACATGTTTACTCAACACTAATACATCTGACCCAGAAAATCAAGGATGTCTGAAGAAGTTAATTAGCTGAAGCAGGTGTGTCAGGTCGTGGTTGGAACTAGACTCCACAGGAAGGTAGATTTCCAGGAGCAGGGTTGGAGACCACTGCTTTAGAGGACTGGAGCCAAGTGAATGAAATATTGTTTGTTTCAGGTTTGATGATGATATGATCACTATATTAATTATTATTATTATTATTATTATTATTATTATTATTATTATTATTATCATTATTATTATTATCAATAATAATTAAGAATTTTATTGTAATCATATTACATTTAGGTACAACTAAACCTGTGTTTTTGTTAAAACCCACATTAATTCTAAATAAATCTAAATGAGCAGTTCACTCTAAACCTGTCTGAGCGTGTGACTCCGCCCACCTGTTGCTAGGGAAACACGCCGCGTCCCGGAGGTTTAGCTTAGCTTATCTAGCTAGCTCCCTCACAGATTTCTGAGACACATCCACAAGCGCTTGTCTGATTACAGCACATATTTTAGCGCACTTTTTATTTTAGCAGGTTTTGGTGCAAGTCCGGTAAGTTTAATTGTCGTGGATATCCGTATATGTTTCAGTGAAACAGCTGGGTGAGTTTTCGCTAGGGCAGACTGTTAGCCAGACTGCTAGGCTGACTCTCAGATGGCTAACTGCTCCCTATATAATGCGCTGCAAAGGTAATAAAACTGTGGGTTCTTCACCCAAACAGTGCTGTTAGCTGTGTAGTCGTACAGTTTATGGTGGAATATAAATGACTTTCTATTCGACATATAATGCACTGTTTGGGTGTTAAATCCGTTATTTCATGACCTATGTAGCGTTAGTGCACTACATGCAGAGTAGGAAGCCATTTGAGACTCTGCCTTAGAGTTTTTGATAATGCTGTTGGTGAAGAGCTGTTCTCTGTGTGTAATAATTACTAGTATAGTTTTCATGTGAGTTGGGTTTTCTGTGTGCTTAATAATTACAGATCATTAGAGCTTGAGTGGGCAGAACTGTTCTGACCCCCACAACTGCCTGCAGCTCTCCTCTGTCTTGCTGCCATGAGCGCCAGCACACACTCAGTCCCTGCGGAGCACCTGGACTACAGCTACATCGAAAAATGTTCAGACATAAAGTATTTGGAGGAGATCCTAAGAGTCCTCAGGTACTCTCTTATAGGGTTGGGAAATATGACAATATATATGATTATCGTGATAAATTATGTTACAATACAATATGCTTTTCTGAATATATTGTGGATACCGTCAATACTTGTTTTGTTATGAAGAGAGTAAAATTAGTCCTGTTTAACTGGATTTGGTGCAACACTATATGCAAAGTATGGAATAAAAATCATTGCATGCACATTTTTTTGACAGTATGTTTTAAAATGTGGCACTGCTGGTTCTTTTTTTCTCTGTTCCAACTGATCAGATGTCTGAAAAAATTAAATATCGAGACAAATTGTATATCGTAAATTATTTCTTCTAAGTATCACAATGTTATATTTTGCCATTTTGCCCACCTGTACTCTCTTATCTTTCATGAAACTGCTTCCTGTGCATTAAGGTCTTATTGCTTTATTCTCAGGTCAGGTAAAGAGGGCTTTTACCCTCACCTCACTGATTTCTGTGAGAAGTGTATAGAAAAGCTGGATCCCAGGAGTCGTGCCCTAAGGAAAGAGAATTCTCCTGCTACAGCTGCCAATTTCTCAAAAGATGAGTGGAGCCAGATCACTAATGATCTAAAGGTATGAAAAGAGCTCTCTGACACCTGTAAAATCGAAATCTCTTAACCTGGTTAAGTTTTACAGTAAAGTTTAGCACTGTCTATTAGTGCAGAAGCTAAAATGTTCTTCATTAGTAATAGCTTGCTATGATTATGAAGGTTAGGGAAAGATTCAAAAGGCACAGTAGGCTTAGGTTGAGTCAGAGGGCTCAGGCTCGTTTTACTGTGTTTATAAAACAATACAAATGTCATGGAACTGTTCTTTGCATAGAAATGGGAGAGAGAGATCAAAGTAAATGAACTGGAGCTGAAGCAACGGTCCATATGCAGCAATGATGAAAACATCCCACCTGTGCGAGGGTCCAGCTGCTCACTTCAGGTAAAAAAAAAAAACTTGATATTGAAAAGCATACATTTATTTGCTTTTCAGTATATGTCACCATCTCTGTTAATTAACATATCACACTTTTCTACAGAAAGCAGCCCAGGATGGGGTCAAAAATAGTTTGAAAACGTCTCATCTACCCCGAGCCTACCAAGACTGGGACGAGTGAGTCTGAAATTGACTGTGACATAAAGATCTGTATGCATCTGAAGTGACAAGGTTAGGGGCTTTTTATTTTTTACTGTATGTATATTTGGCAGGTTTGATGTTGAGAAGGAATGTGCTAAAATTGATGGAGGTATGGCAAATAAAGACTCTCCTGCCATTATCGATGACTTCCTTCCAAAAATCAAAAGGGATGTAGACACAACAGGTCAGTTTTTATTTTGTTAAATGCTTTGTATGTTTTTTGCTAAGACTTACAGCCAACCTAAATCACCGTTTCCCTGTGATCTTCTATCAAAATGTAATGATGTTTGCCCACCTCTTCTGAGTTTTGATTACATCATCATGCACCAGCATAAGGAGAAAAATAATATTAAAGGGACTATTTCATGAAAAACAAATTTCCCTCACTATTTTGAAATAAAGGACTTTGACGTAATATATGTAAACACTGTTAAAGTTTTAAAATGTACCGTTCACTCCTCAGTCTATACAGTCCAGTCCAGCTTAGGAAACTAAGCTGCAAAAAACAGCCTGTTTTGAAAATTGACAAAGAAAATGAACATTTATGGTGAAACAAAAGGGGAAAAAATTAAAAACAAGAATACAAAAATGTGTGATATAGGCCCTTTTACCAATTATATCATGTTTCACTAGACCCTCCCTGATACCATGTTTCACTCACAAATACGTCACAGTCTGGACGGAAAAGGCGTTATGATCTCTACAATATGTGTTCACTTTACAGCTAATGATGTCATTCTACATGTTTGCTATTTTAAATTTGTATTTTTCAGATCATGTGTGCCTATGTCATGTTTTGTCCATACTTCAGTTCTTACAGAGCAGGAGAAAGTTGTTCTGGCAAACCGTGAAAAAGACAAAGGCAATGAGGCTTTCAGAGCCTGTGATTATGAGGAGGCTGTGGCCTACTATAGCAGGTGATCTTTAGTCGTAGGTCTATCAAGGCTTTCTCCTCTATTTTCCACTGTGTTCACTGTGTTTTCACTGTATTTCTTCTGTAGAGTAGTTGATTCGGTATTAACTGGAGTGCTGCGGGTGTGGTGTGTCCGCAGGAGTCTATGCATCATGGTGACGGCTGCAGCCCTTAATAACCGGGCCCAGGCAGAGATCAAACTGCATCGCTGGCATGACGCCCTGAGCGACTGTGAGCGAGTGCTGCAGCTGGAGCCACACAATACTAAAGGTGTCAGTGTGATTTAAGAGCCAAGAGTAGGGTCAGGGGTCAAGAAACAGAAGCTGTTATGTATATGCTGTGAAGGATTTCCTTTCTCCATAAGCAACATAGTTCAGAGCTCTGGCAGTAGGTAGTTCAGTTTTATTATGTTTACATACACACAGCTCTTCTACTAGTCTTGAGGTTCAGTGCCTCCCCCAATCACTGTGTATGATGCTAGTTAATGCAGGCATCTGTTAGCTGCATAACAAAATTGGCAGTGTTCTGCTCCAAGTGTGTTAAATTGTTCAATGATGTTGCTTTAATGGCGGTTAGAAAAGATGCGGCGGCCTTCATGTGTTTTGGAGGAAGCACATGCTAGCCCTCACCGCCCCAGATAGCATTGTGTGAAAGGGGAGACCCAACTACTATGTGGGCTCAGCAGTGACAAAATTGAGAAGAAAATTGGGTTAAACTGTAAATCTCTGGAAGAAGACATGATGTAACAGTATGTTAACTGCTTTGTTCTGAAGCTCTGCTGCGTCGTGCCACTGTGAACAAACAGCTGGGGAACCTGCAGGTGGCCAGTGATGACCTCAGTGCTGTGCTTCGCTCTGAGCCGCACAACATGATCGCTCAGGTGCGACTCCTCTCACATTACTGTGTAGATCATAGGCTATTGTTTGTTTATGAGGGGAAATATGAATGTGATGCTTTCAGTGACACACATGACAGAAATTCTACATTACCAAACCAGCAAAAACAGACATTTATTGTGTATTTGTGTGTTTACAAAGTATGTTTGAATCTGTGTGTTTTACAGAGACTGCTGGAGGAAATCAGTAAGAAAATAAATGCAGACATGCAGGACAAACCAAGCAAGGGCAAAAAGCTTCTCATTCAGGAAGTAGAAGAGGATGATGACAAAATCAGTGATGAAGATGACAAAAAAACATCAGCTGGTGAGTGACACTGATAATCAGCAGCACATTTCTTCTAATACAGGCCAAGCGGACTTGAGCTGGATTTCTATACTTGTTTATAAGCAGTTCCAAATAGTTTGGACTGGTGGAAGGGGGATATATTTAAATCAAGGGAAATTTTTTTAATAAAATAATAAAATAAATAAGATGAAGATGTCTGCAGGACAAGTTATGTTAGCGCAGGATGCACAAGATTCACATCAACTCCAGTTAGGCCTTTCCTCTACTTACCCATGAAGGTTCTTGGGAAGATTCTTGTGTGGATTTGGCCTTAATCGAACTGAGCTTGATCATGCACTGCCTCATCAACATAAACCTTAGCTAACAGTTTGCATCTATAGGTTTTGTTTTTACATGCAGCATGTCCACTGGGTGGTTGATCCTAGGGTTGTGGGTTCAATACCTGGGCCCGCTTAGTTGCCACTGTTGGGCCTTTGAGCGAGGCACTTAACCGTCTCTGCTGTAGGGGCAAGTATCATGACTAACTCTGTGCTCTGCCACCAGCTGTCTAAGTTGGGATATGTGAAGAAAAGACTTTTGTTATACTGTGCAGGTATAGTGACAATAAAGATACTTAACTCTGACCAAAATTAACAATATCAGTGTTGCCACTGTAGTCTAGTTCAAATACTAGGAAAGCCCCCTTCTGATGATGTATCTTAAAGGTAAGAGGAACTTCAAGAAATTTTCCTCTTAGGGCACTGGGGCAGATACTTGAGAGTGTGTTTGGAAGTTTTTCCTGCTAGATGGCAAATGCTAAAGCCAGATATGTCACGTTACTGCTTGGAAGCCAATTATCACATTGTATGTATTATCCTCTACATCAGTGGTTAAGCTAGCAGTCAGGATTTCTTTATTGGTGTGGGGGGATTCCCAGTAGTTCTGTGACATATTTGTGCAATGCATGCTGGATAATGTATGAGAGAACACTGGATGAAATCACGAAAAGTTTACAAAATTGTGAATTCTGTCAAACCAAAGGATGCAATGCTGCACTAGAGAATATTACAGAACACAATGAATAACATAATAAAGGCTAGTTTAAAGCCAGATTGCCCTTGAAAATCTAGTAAGGCTTTACTTTACAAAAAAACTGTTTAGAAAACTCAAAAGAGTATTTGAGAGAAGTGCAGTAGGAATCTGCACCTATAGGTGAAAGTCTTCAAGGTTTAAGCTGCACCATGTGATCTTCCCTGACTGAAAGCTTTCCTGGAACTCTCTGCAAAAAGCTTCAGTGTCCCCGCCCCTTTCCTACTGTGATGTAATTGCTGCAGACACGCCCCCTCCCCCTCTATGCACTTCTCTCACATACACTCTCTCTCTCTCTCTCTCTCTCTCTCTCTCTCTTCTTTCTTTCTCTCTCTCTCTCTCTCTCTCTCGCTCGCTCGCTCGCTCGCTCGCTCTCTCAGACGGTGGTCAGAGTGCGGGAGAGGATAGGCAGGCTGCAGCGAGAGGAGGAATGGGTAATGCGCAGAAGAAGCCTCAGGGTAGGGGGGCACGGGGAGGAACCGCTGACAAATACAAGGTGAAGGCAGAGGGAGGGTCGGCAGCTGCAGAGAGCAGGAAGAGCCTGGCTAATGGCAGCAGCAGCAACAGCACAACTCAGCCGGGCAGCGGCAGGCCTGACAGTCCAGTGGGGAAGAGGACAGAGCCACCCTCTGTGGCTGGAGCACTGCCTCCACCACTGGCCCAACTAAAGAACGAGGGAAACCAGCTCTTCAAGAATGGACAGTTTGGAGACGCTCTGGAGAAGTACACGCATGCTATTACAGGGTTCACGGAAGCAGGTACACACACACACTCGTGTCTGGATCCACCCTTGGATCTGCTTTTACTCGCCTTAGAGCCTCCAACTTCTCTACACTTGTGTGCCAATGTTTTAAACATTTACAGAGCACATATTCTGCACTTAATGAGTGAATAATATTCATTCATTCATTCATTCATTTAGTCATTCATTCAGTGCTTTTACAGGACCGCTTTGTGTTAATAATACAATGAAACGAGTTTCACAGCAGCCATAAAATGTCATTTCTGCCTTTTTTGGAGATCTCTCAGTTGAACCAAGCATTTATTTTGTTCAGTAACGTTGATAGACTATATTTCAATGGAAATGTGTATGATATACAAAACCAGAACTATTTTTTTGTCTTTGTGGGTGAGCAAGGTCACCAGTTATAAACGTGCTTTTATGGTGTTTTTTATTGTGGCGGTTGTACACATTTTTGATTAAAAAAAGTGGTGCTGTGTGTTTTATCTCGGAACTGTGGAGAGATGTGATTTGGGCTCTCACCCCTCCCCTTTCTATTCACCGCTCATTGCTCACTAGCAGCTCAACAGAGAGTCAAATTTGACACAGAGAGAACAAACAGTGATAACAGAATTACCAGGGAAAATATTTTATTTGATTTATTTTAATCAAATCCCAGGTTCATTTCCATTTTGCCTGTGGAATGGCCACAGTAGGGCCTGCAGAAGGAGGTTAAGAACAAAGTTGCAGCCTATGCCAATTTTTCTCTATTCCTAGTACTGAGCTGGTGTGTGTGTGTGTAGTTCGTCTTTAATCTGACTCTGACTGAGCTTGTGTGTGAGCGTCTTTCATCTCTAATCTGATACGGGTGTGTGTGTGTGTGTGTGTGTGGTGTCTAATCTGACTCGGAGAGTGTGGTGGCTGAAAGCTGCTTGGCGAAGCGGCGCTCTGTGTCATGTGACGTGTGCCCACTCTGTATGAAATCAGATCTGGTTTTCTCACAGTGCCTCATTGAAAACACAGCTAGAAATCTCTTGCTCATTGACTGCCTTTTTCCTCTTTTTCTCTCTGTGCTTCTCTCTCTCTCTCTGAGTGGATTCATGTTGTTCTGCTGGAGTAATATTTGGTCTATGTACTACAACCCGTTTCCAAAAAAGTTGGGATGCTAGGCAAAATATAAATAAAAACAGATTGCAATGATGTGCAAATCATTTAAACCCTATATTTAATTAAAAAAATAGCACAAAGTCAACATATAAAATGTTGAAACTGAGAAATAGGATTGTTTTATGAAAAATATATGCCCATTTGAAATTGATGCCAGCAACACATTTAAAAAAAGTTGCGACGGGGGCAACAAAAGACGTAAGGTAAAGTTGTGTTATGCTAAAAAAACATCTGGTGGAACATCTCAGCTAATTAGGTCAACTGACAACAGTTCAGTAACATGATTGGGTATAAAAAGAGCATGCCAGAGAGGCTGAGTCTTTCAGAAGTAAGGATGAGGGGTTGACCACTCTGTGAAAGACTTCACTGGCAAATAGAGCAACAATTTAAGAATAACATTTCTCGAGGTAATAAATTAGCAAAAAGAAAAGAATCGCAAAGATTCTGTAGTGGAAATCACTGCATGCCAGCAACTGTCTGTGAACACAGTTCGGCGCTGCATCCACAAATGCAAGTTAAACAGCTTGTTATCAGCGCATAGTTCGAAAGCCAACGTCTGCTGCCATCCAGAAGACATCTTTTTCAAGGAAGGTCTTGCTTATTTCAGCAAGAAAGTGCCAAACCACATTCTGCATGTATTACCACAGCATGGCTCAGTAGTAAAAGAGTCCAGGTGCTAAACTGGCCCATCTGCAGTCCAGACCTGTCACCCACTGAAAGCATTTGGAGCATTATGTAACATAAAATATGACAAAGCAGACCCTGAACTGTTGAGCAGCTGAAATCCTATATCAAGCAAGAATGGGAAAATATTTCAGTTTTTACACTTCAGTAACTCTCCTCAATTCCCATATGCTGACAGAGTGTCGTTAAAAGAAGAGGTGATGCAGCACAGTGGTAAATACGCCCCGTCACAACTTCTTTGGAACATGTTGCTGGCATCAAATTCAAAATAGGCATATATTTTTTTAAAAAAAGAAGTAAGATTTCTCAGTTTCAACATTTGAAATGTTGTCTTTGTACTCTTTTCAATTAAATGTAGGGTTTACATGATTTGCACATCATTGCATTCTGTTTTTATTTACATTTTGCACAGCATCCCAACTTTTTTGGAAATGGGGTTGTAAGTGCTAAAGCAGCGGCCTCTTTCTTGTTGGGACTGTAGTGGAACAGCTGTGAGATTAAAGTGGGAGAGGCAGAGCAGTTTGTTGACTGTAATGTGGATGAACTGGTTTTACCACATTGTCAAGAGCTGAGCAGAAACCAGCATTCAGCTTTTATACTGATTGGTCATAGGAGACATCACTCTAGAACAGAGGTCTTGAACCCAGTTGACCAGAAACAGGATTCAAGGTCCAGAGTTGAAGACCTACTGCTCTAGAGACATAAAAGATGACAAGCAGGCATGTCCACATTAGCTGCTGTAACAACACAGTGCACGCAGCATGTGTAGACTTTAAATCCTTGCTTTTTTTCTCTTTAGGCATTGACAGTCCAGAGGACCTATCTATACTGTACTCAAACAGAGCAGCCTGCTACCTGAAAGATGGTAACAGCTCTGACTGTATAACCGATTGCACCAGGTGAGCACTCAGCCACTCTAAACCAATCTAACAACCCTAACCCCTAAAACTTCACCCTAAATACTAACCCTTAAGACCTAATAACCCCAGCCCTAAAACTTAACCCCTTAACCCCACCCCTAAATATAACCCCTAACACTTAATCCCTTAACCCCACCCCTAACTACTAACCCTAAGACTTAATAACCCTACCCCTAAAAACCAAACCCTAAAATGTAACCCTTTAACCCCACCCCTAAATGCTAACCATTAAAACTTAATCCCTTTTCCCACCCCTAAATAGTAACCCCTAAAACCTAATAATCACACCCCTGAACACTAACCCATAAAATCTAGCCCCTTAACCCAACCCCTAAACACTAACCCCTAAAACCTTAACCTCACTTTATAAACACTAATCCCTAGCACCTAATAACCCACCCCAAGGCCTAACACCTAACCCTCAGCCCCAACACCTAACCCTCAGCCCCAACACCTAAACCTCAGCCCCAACTAGGTTAGCTGAACTAACCTAACCCTGTCCTAACCCCCACTATACATGAATAATTCTCAAAAGTGATGGTTCAGCCAACAAAAACAAAAGATTTGCACAATTTCCCCATTACCCAAATGCAGTTGATTAGCCAAGATATGTTTGTAACCGAAATTTGCTTCTTTACTTTTGCACTGGAGCTAGTTAATGTACAATGTGAATTTGTTCAAAAGGTTGTACATAACTGCTCGTTCAACATTGATTTATTCCAAATTGAATCCCAAAGGAACATTTTATTACTCAAATGTTGATCTCTGTTGGCTCACTATGTTTTATTTATGTATCAAGCATGTCACAGATGTTTCTACTAAAATTCCTTAAGAGAAATGGCATTAGAACAAAAAGGAGATATGAGATACTTCTGGCCCAGATAAAAATTATGATTTTATTTATTATTTCTGTTTAATTTGCTGATAAACATGAGTGTTATTACCATTCTTATACAGAAGAGAGTACAGAGATGTGACGGAAATCTCTTATTTTATGTTTCTTTCCTATGGGAGGCAGCATTACTGTAAAAGAAGCTTACTCTTCCTGTACTAACAGCCTGTACCCCTCTGGAAAGGCTTTATACTAGATGTTGGTGACAACTAGTATAACATAGCTGTGAAGATTGCTGTGCTTTTCTATGGAGATGTGAACTCTGTGTCAGCAATTGGTGCACCTTAAAGTAGCTAAATTTACTAATTATTCATTCTCTCAAAAGCCCCACAGAGGGGACATACACACACTCATATGCACTGTTGGATTATAGTGTAATTCTGTGATGTGGTTGCTGTTGATATCAGAGCACTGGAGCTGCAGCCGTTTTCTCTGAAGCCGCTGCTGCGCAGGGCAATGGCGTACGAGTCTCTGGAGCGTTACCGCAAAGCCTATGTGGACTATAAAACCGCACTGCAGATTGACAGCAGCATCCTCGCCGCCCACGACAGTGTCAACAGGTATCAGCTCCTTTCAGCAGCACCTCCCCAGCACACACATTCACACACCACAACCTGCACACAGCATTCAGAGCTGCTGACCACAACACTACAGGAAACACCACTGAAAGGAAGGGTCTGACCTGACCTGGCCTGACATTACATGGCCTTATATAGTGTGTGATATGCAATATATGTCAATGTATGTGCTTCTCAACCAGCAGTGCATTGCATTCAGGATCAGCTTCTATTGCCTTCATATTGTCTGGCAGTTTTTTAAAGCTAAGGGTCATCTGCAGTCCCAAAAGGATCACTATTATTAGGAAATTACTTCTTACCAGATTTTTTTCTAGATTGGCCCCCTTCCCATTTTGCACTTTCACTAACTGATCAGGAATCAATAAATCTCACATGATATAATGAATTTGTTAATATACGGTCACATGAATTTAATTGCAGACCTGGTCATGACTGTGGCATACTCCTCAATTAGCACACCAGTCTTTTAATAAGCAAAAGTAATTTATATGTTGTGTAGAAAATTAGTTTTGCTTGCAATGCATGATAATGTCCCAATACATTTGGTGTGGTCACTTACTTGTATGGTCATGTCAGTGAAGGCCTTTGAACTAAACTGACACAGAGGCAGAGAAAGAGTGAGATTAGTGAGGGCTGGATTTCTCTTTCCTCTGCAGACTAATTCAGCACATGTTGATGGTCACATAACAGGATGATACAGTGTGTGTGTGTGTGTGTGTGCTTCTGTGTGTATTACATGAAGGATCACGCGGTTGCTGATGGAGCAGGATGGTCCTGATTGGAGGCAGAAGTTACCGGAGATTCCAGTGGTTCCGCTGTCGGCCCGACAACACTGTACAGAACCCCCACCCTCTACTCATTCACACACCGAGAAAGACACAAAAGAAGCCGGTCAGTACACACACACAAACACACATACCACACAAACTTGCATCACAGGCATTATATACATTAAACATATACATACATTTTTTAATCACATTAAATTTCTGTCCAAATTTTTAGTCCAAATTTCTTTCCAAAACTGACCAGAACTGGCCCATCATTAACCAAAGTGTACAATAAAGCCTCATATTTCTAATGATGTTGTGTACAATAACATATATATAATACATATAATATAACAATATAATAAAATATGTAATGAAATAATTAGCTATCCAAAATTTAGCTTAAATGTGCTTTAACAAATTTATTCATCAAGCAATGATTTCAAATAACATCCGAAACATTTTTAGTCTGACTAAACTTTTCATACTGCACTGTAGTCACGCTATGCAGAGCTGATACAGCAGGGTCTCTGTATCTCTCTACTCTGTTTCTGCACATAGAACATGTTAGATGTAATATATTCAACATATCATGTATAACATTTTTTGACCAAATAAATTAAACATCCTTTTGGCTGCACACATTTACACGCATTAATCTGAAAGGCAGAGTAACAAAAACAGCTCATTTAATTCTGAGGGATAAAAACCCAAACATAAAATTGAAACACCAAACTGAACAAGACACATATTTGGGGAAAAAAACATCTGAATCTGACATGAGCAGTTCTGTTTCGTTGGGTTTGGACAAATATTTCAAGCTCTAACACACACCATACACATCAAACAGAGACACACACACAGAAACAAGACACATCACAGATACCTAGACACATCACACACATCAAACACACACGCATACATGGTTTTCAGATGTGAGAGATGCTGCTGATATATCAAAATCAGGTTGCTATGACTGGGTAGGGGTTGAATGAGGAAGAAAGTAAGCAGGATGTTCAGCTGAATTCAAGTTCAACAAGTAACAATAAAGTTCAATTCCATCAACACAGATTGACTTATTTTACCCACAATAAATGCACCCAAAGCCATAAAAATCCTAACCCAAAATAAATTCTATTATTAAAAACCCTAGCCCATAAGCCAACACTTAATTACCCTGTTTGAGCTGCCCCTTTAGACTGTTGAGGGTTAATGTGGGTCTAGTACTGGCACACACATAACTAGTCTACACATGCTTACGGAAGTCATAATGTCTTAAAGAAACAATGTGTAGGACCTCACCTAATTGGACACAGCTACTACACACCCATAGTAGCACTCACCCGTGTAAAGGGGCACCTCAGGCAAGATCAAAATCCTTTCAGAGATGTTCACTAGAACAGTTCTTGTATTTTTTTATGTTCATGTGCGTTTATATCTCTCTTTATCCATTAGAATTAAACAGGCTATTTTGTTTTTTTGTCTTAGATTAAGACTACTATAGGTAAATTAAGTCTGTTCTTGCTGATTGCTCTCTATTGTGCCTCAGTCAAAAACCAGTCGACCTTGGAACACGCTTAACCTCAGTGTAAATGGGAGGGGCTAAGCTGCTGTAGACTGAATAGCAGACATCTCTTAATGCATTGGTTTTCTTGACATGGCAAAAACGATTATTTCCAAACAGACAGCTTAATTTCTATTTATGAACTGTATGGACTGGGGATTCAGTACATTGTGAAACTTAATTATGAAACAATATACATAATAATGTTTTAGCTATTACAAACTTTAACATAGTATATAAGAACTATTTTATTCCAAAATAAAGTTTTTCATTATATAGGCCCTTTATAAAAAGGAAAGAGCATTTTTTGCAGACGCCTGGCAGACAGGAAAAGGCTTACATCAGGTGATTTTTTTTTTTCTTCTGTACTGTGACTACAAAGAGGCAGATGATTATCTGCTGTAGAACTACTTAAATTCCTAACTGTGAGTGTGGTGTGTTTTAGCCAGGAGAACAGAGGCACGTTTCACTTCCCTGAAGACAGAAGGAAACGAGTTAGTGAAGAAAGGCCAGTACCACGAGGCAGTTGAAAAATACAGTGAATGCCTTAAACTCAAATCAGATGAATGTGCAATCTACACTAACAGGTATGGTGCAACCAACTCTGTGTGCCTTAATGTGGAATTCCATTTAGAAAGTGCTGTTTATATTGACTTCTTATGTTCACAAAATACATGTACATTTGGAACATTGTATTGAAATTTAAAACTGTGTCACTGATATGCCCCTTTGTCTCTTCCAAGAGTCTCTCATTTGTCAATGATTGTCAGTTCAGCTCGGTTTTATAAAATCAGTTTTGTACTCTGACATGCTACTTTGAAGTCTTTTCTGTTGTATACATTTATAATTACAGCTTTGAATATAATTACAGATTTGTGGAATTGAGAAATTTTTTAAGACATAAAATGATTATCGAATCGAAAATATAAAATTCTACTGAAAATAAGTGTATCTTTAACCCTGTAAACATTTTTTAGCAGAGCCCAGCTATGTTTTAACAAGATGATGCAAAATGGAGCTTTGCTGGAAGGACTGTGCTATAACTCTTCTTTTCCTGTCTCAGAGCTCTCTGCTTAATTAAACTGGAACGCTTTGCTGAAGCCAAGCAAGATTGTGACTCCGCCCTAAAGCTTGAGCCCTCCAATAAGAAGGCCTTCTACAGACGCGCATTGGCTTATAAGGGCTTGAAGGTAAGAGAACGTTACCATTGCTTACTTTAAGTTCACCTCCGTCCAGCAGATTCAGTGGCTCCTTCCCTCCCTTTACTTAAGATACAGTAGAAATGTTGATATAGGATCAGATTCCTCTCTTTTGTACACCGACTTTACTTCCAGGAACAGTTCCAGATGATCACTCAGACTCTGAGAAGCTTTGTGAATACAGCCCCAGGCCTCAGTGTTTTGCCACAAAGTAGGATGCTGAGGATACACTAACTTTGTGTTTAACTTAAGCTTAAAATAATCATGATTTTGGTTCAATAACCTGCTGCTCAATCACTACAGCGACTTGCTCTCCATAACTAAACTTTTCCAAGGTTATGTTACACTTTAGCTCAGCTGAACGAGAAAACACTGAGTCTCAGTCAAACATGTGAGAAAATGTCAGATTTTCTAATACTTTTGTACAAAAAGCAGTCTTAGCTGTATGAACGTATAAATGATTAACACAATTCAGAGAAATGTGAGCGTGCAAAAATGAATCTAACTATTTATGAGTCTTTGTGGTGTCTCTTAACTATAAAGGGGGATCTTTGGTGCAGTGAATTTAACTTTAAGAATGTAGAGCTTTCATGGAATACCCTCTTTGTCTGAGACTTAGGCTCCATGTTAATGCTTTTTTAACACACCTTCACCAACTCACACCCATCTTATACAAGTGGCCACTTGCAGCACTAGAGGAGACGAGCATGGCGAAGGGCGTATTTTTCATTGGAAACACACTCACCCTCGGCTAAATTAACCCCAGTGAGCTGGCTATGCAAATTTTGTAATGCAAATTTTTTGACAAGATTAAATGTAACGTACATAAAGTATGCGAATAACTGCTTTGTCTGGCTATAAGTTTTGGTTTAGAGCCATGGTGTGTCACCTTTCTTTTCATTCTTGTTAGTAGTGTTGCCTGACTAGCAAGCTAGCAGAGTAAAGCAACAAAGTTGCATCACCAGTCATGTGTAACAGATGGAGTAAAACTCACCAAATCAAAGGTTACGGTTTTGAAATATTAAGCATTTTAAAGCATTTTACTGCTACGGCATATAAACCACTTGTCGGGGGGTTTGAAAAGGGAACTGTGTCAGATCACAATAATTTCTGAGCAAGTTTTGCTGCCAGAGTTATTCACTCAACCCTGTGCCTCTCTGCAGGTTCATCTAACAAACTTTGCTTGAGCTGATAAAGTATTAGAACAGTCCCTTGAAAGGGAACAGCCTTTTAGCATTTAGCCTTTCCAGTCGTAATCGAGACATTCCAAAGGTGTGTGTAGACAATGTATAAGATGTGTATGAGCTTGATTTATTCTGTATGAATCATTATTATGGTATGTGTGTGTGTGTGTGTGTGTGTGTGTGTGTGTAGGATTATGTGGCATGTAGTTCAGATTTGCAGGAGGTGCTGCGTTTAGACGCGAGTGTGCAGGAGGCTGAGCGGGAGCTGGCAGAGGTGACGGCTTTGCTGAAACAGCAACAAGCTACAGAGTCTTCCAGCCAGCCACGCAGGAACATCACCATCACTGAGGTGGGTTAACAGCACTCACACTGCAGACAGATCATGCACAGACTCACACTGAAGAAAGAACTCATTTTTTGCAGTTCTCATCTACACAACTAACAATTATTTAAATAATCGATTGATTTGTTATACTATTGTTTGATAAATCGACTAATTGAAACATTATGCTACTGTAGATTCCTCTCACATCCCCCCTCTCACAGTGCCTCCAACAGTCAAAGCTCCACTTTTTTTTTATGGTGCAACCAGAGTCAGCTTTAGTGGAACATGACCATTTCCTTTTTTATCTCATTATCCCAAAAAATGACTGCAGAACGCTAGAGGGCACCAGCGAGCGAGTCCTGAATGAGTGGGAATGAGTGGAGCTAAATGGCTAAAAAAATAATTAAAACTGTTTCTAGTCATTCATGAGGGAACAATTTCCCCATCTTCTGTTGTTGACTGTGATGGTGGAATAAACCAGATGTTGAGTTTTTCTGAAACACGAGCGCTGAATGGTCATAGCTGAAGTCCAGGTGTACCCATGTACACCATCTCCTGAACAGAAACACACCCTTAGAAACTAGCGTGTGTTCAGAACACTTAGGACACAGTAGTGGCTATCAGCTCCGCCTGTACACGGGCAGAAACACCAGTAATGCTTATGAACATTACAACATTTACATGACTTCATGCCACCATCAGATCTGTACTGCATATTATGGCTGAAAAATGCAGAATGACAAAGTGCAGAACAACGGTTTTTCAACACCAACATATAAACTAGAAAGTCCTATAACTGGAGTTCAAACAGTTCAACAACAGTGTTGAAATATTTTTGTAATATTCTGTATTGAGAATTGGTGCATTTTTCTTTATAAAATTATTACTTTTTAGGAACTTGGCACAAAATAGCCATGTGAAGCCCATTCATTGTAGACCCACTTGGGAACATCCTTTAGCATCTGTGAAGAGGGCTGTTTTTAAGTAAATAACATGTCAACACTTTGACTTTTTTCCATAATCAACATTGACAGCAACTAATCGATGTAGCTCAAGTGTCTAATGTGTTAGAAATATTATTTATTTATTATTTATTTACATCTTCTCTGAATCCAGATTTCTCCGATCTGACTTTAGCTTTTGTGGAGCCGCTCTACCACCTCTGATCTTTTACTCAGTTTAGCTGGCACATCTCTAGAGCATGTGTGGATGTCAGTTTTAGTCATGTCCGATCTCCTTTGCCACTGTTTGTGTAGGTGGAGAAGGAGGAGGAGGAGGAGGGAGAAGCTGCAGTGAGCAATCCAGAGGGAGGACAGAAGAGTACCAGTCAGAGCATCAACCTGCAACCCTCAAACGCATATGAGTTTGGCCAGGCGCTGAACGCAGCCCGTTCACATAACGACACAGCAGCTGGAGCTCAGCTCCTTCGCTGTGTGCCCCCAGACAGTCTTCCCCAGTATTTGAAAACACAGCTGGATGCACACACTCTCGGCTTTATCATGCAGGCGCTGGACACACACCTGCTGACGCCAGAGCCAGACCTCGTTTACCAGCTCCTCAGCCATCTCCACACCACAGAAAGGTTCTCGGTAAGGAATACACTCTCCTGTCTCTTACCAAAGCATCTAGTACAAAAACATGTGTTATAAAGTGCATAGTTCTGGTTCTAGAATCTGATTGGCTGAGCCACTCGTTGTGAAATGCTGGATATACATACATATGACCACACGCATCAACTGTGTTTTTGTTATTTGGCAACCATAGCCTCCTGTGAATGAACTACAATACTTGGCAGAAGAATTATTATGATTTTAATTAATAGTAAATTATTTATTGAAAACTGGTGTATGATGTCATATTGTAATTTGTAGCTGTTTTATAAAAGCAATAAGCCACATAAGACCGTGCACCCCGTGATTTTACTCTGCTTCATGTTGTGACTAACACCACCCTTTATGGCCATGAGCGTCATATTGCATAGATTATATGACTTTTATGACTGATGTGTGAAAATACAGCAAACTAAAAAGCAAAACTTTCATAACACTTTTTATTAATCTCTTTACTGAATAACAATTAGCAGGGTTTTAAATTAAGTTAAAATTCACATCAGTAGTCAAAGCAATCCACACAGTTACACTGCATTTCACTGTGCTTTTAGCATGACAGAACTAAATGCCAAGTACACTGTTGCATTTCTTCATATGACTCCATTGTCTTGCAAAACCAATTATAAGTTCACTGTGTTAATTGTTTTCTCTTTACACAACCCAACTTTTCACATGTTTATTCTTGGTTCATTCAGGAAGAAACTCGCTGCTGCTGTTCATCACTGGTCTTTCTAAATTGATCCAATATACCAAACTTAATACCAAAAATGTTGGGACAGTATGTTAAATGCAAATAAAAACAGAAAGCAGAGATTAGTTTAAACACACTTTGACCTGTATTTAAACAATACAGAAACAGAACAAAGACAATATATTTAATGTTTTATGAAAATGTTTTTTTTTTTTAAATACATGCAAATTCTGAAATGTATGCCGAGAACACAATGCAAAAAATGGGACAGGGTCAATTAAAGATTTATTTCATAATTTATTTCATAGAAACATTATAAAATGTTCAAAAATCATCTTGAACAGGTGATGCAAGCATACTTGGGCATGAAAGAAGCCTTAAAGAAAGGCCTAGTCCATTATTAGAAAGGAGAGGTTGAGGCGCACCACTTTGCCAAAATCTGTTGCCAGTTATTCAGCAGTTCAAGAACAATGTTCCTCAACAAGCAGTTACAAGGATTTCAGATATTTCACCCTCTACAGCGCATAATATCATAAATCTCTGATCCCTCAGACAGCACTTCATTAAAAACTGGCATGTAGCAGAGGGCATATCTCACCAATGTCCAGAAACGCTGCCACTTAAACTCATCTGAAGTTCACTGATGGACAGTGGAAATGTGTATTAAGTCTGACGAGTCAATCTGTCAGATTTATGGAAATAATAGACATCATGATTTTTTTTCTGGGCCAAAGAAGAAAAAGAACCATTTAGACTTTTCCAGCATAAAGTTAATCTTTTTAGGAACATGTTGCAGTCATCAAATTTGGAATGAGCATATTTACAATAAAACAAAGTTAATAATGAAAAACATCAGACATTGTTTTTCTATTGTTTTAATGTACTAATCACTGCTTTCTCTTTTTATTAGAATTTCATATATAGGAGTTGAGTTTTTTTCAAGGAGAACTTTCTATGTTAAATTAAATGATAATATTAAGCTGACATGCATCTGTGTGTGTATGTGTGCAGGTTGTTCTGATGCTGCTGGACTCGGATGAGAGGAAGCAGATGACGCAGCTGTTCGAGCACCTTGGTTCAGTGGACAGTGAGCTGTTCTCTCAGAATGATGTCAAAAATCTGGCCAATAAATACATCTGACCTTTTTAAACTTTTTGCATGAGCTTCCATGCACTCGTATCTATGCAACAACCTCAGATCCTTAAACCTGCATCAGCTTGAAGCAATATCAACAAAGAGATGCACAATCCGACAGGACCCAATACACCTGCTCTACAAAACTCAACAAAACTCATCCCTCTTTCTGGAACTGCTACAGACTGATTCTGTGTGGATGCTTCACTTTATGAGATGGATGCATGGTCTGGTGGAAGCTTTATAAAAACAGTATTTCCTGAAAAAAATACTGAAAAGTGCCCTCAAACGTTCTGATGCAAAATAGTATAGAAAATGTTCAGCTTAATTTTATTGAATCTTATGCCATGTATTCATACATATGAAAAAAATGTATATGTCACAATACATCTTTCAGTTATAAAGAGAGAAGGTATATTTTATTGCAGTAAAAGATCTGACATATCCGGGTAAAAACAAATATTTAAAGTAAATACTGGAGCCCTGATGCGCACAAAATGAAGCCATGTGTGGGATGTGTGCCTTTGTACTCAGGTTAAAGAATGCCATCTTCAACACTCACACCCATGTTGAACATGTTGAAAAGCAAGAGAACACAATAAAGATGTTAAAAGACTATTTTCATTTGTAAATGATAAGCCACTGTACTGTGTTGCAGCTGAGCTCTGAAGCATTAACTGCATGTGAAATCCCCCTCAATATACAAGTTGTTTATAAATGTTTGTATGTTTTAATTTCAGACTACTAAAAGTTTACACTTGCTGCTGAAGCTTATGTTTTTTAAAATATAAATTAATCTGAATGCCATTATGAAAATGATTGAAATTCTGTCTCTGGGTTGAAGTGCATCTAGCCTTACTCAGTTCAGATTTTTCCTCCTCTGCACTTCTCTTTTCTTCCCTTCCTGAAGTATGTTCTTTTGTCTCACTTTGGCCCGTTACACTCATTAGGAGTTATTTTACCTCTTCTGTGAGGACCTTTCACTATTTCTTGCTGGTTTGAGAATACTGATAATTGTTTTCTGACTTCTTTCTCTTAACTTGAGTTATAAAACCTGACCTGCACTTATTCCTCTTATGGATATGTGCTTCATTGAAAGGGCACTGCAGCCGAAGACTAGCAGTTAATATATTATTTGTTGTGTTATGTAATATTCTGTAATTTTAGTTCATCAGTATTCTTACACTACAATACCCAGCATGCAATATACAAATACACAATCATTGGGATCCTCTACCTCATCCAACAAATCCTGGCTGATTGACATTGACATTAAAATTTACTTCCTCCTTCAAAATACATCAGAAGGGGTTTGTTTCCTAGTCTTTAAACCAGTAAATCTCACTCTAGATAATACAGCGGCACTGATGGAGAAGAAGAGCAGGCATGTTGCAACAGATGTAGTGATGGATATTTTTCAGTTTGGCCAGAGCGTCTCTTTAACAGCTGTAAAATATAACAATATACAATATTTCAGTTATTTGGTTTTGCCTGAATGAGGGGCTTTGGGTATGAGACTGAGTAATGTTCTCAGCCACCTTCTCAGTTTTGATGACCCACCTCTGCACTGTCGATGTTTCTGTGATCTTGGGTTTCATTGCTGGAGTTTTTCTCCACATGTCTGTAAAACTCCCTCCAGTTCTGATGACACCTTTATGAGTAGAAATCTAAGATATCTGTGTCTCATATTTGTGATTCATCTGTGATGTTAATCTCAAACTAACCTTCTTATCACCAGGTGGGCTTCGTCCTGCTCTCCCTCTAAAATGTTGCCGTGTCCTTGTTCACGTTGCGCTTCCGCTCCGCGCCGCTGGGGGGCAGTAAACAGACAGGAGTGTTTGTGTTCTGCGCCGCTGTGACTTTTACAGAAGAACCCACATGGGTTACACTACCTGTACACCGATCTTAGTGTTTAGAGGGTTATAAAATAAAGTATTATAATTTTGAAACAGATGAAAAGATGAACGCGATCCGACGCTCGCCCCGCGTCCTCTCTCAGCTCTGCGGCGGGGCTGTGTGCAGAGTCAGAGCCGTTTACCTCAGAGAGGAGGAGCGCCGGAAACTCCGGACTGAAGCGCGATTCACAGGATTTACACACTCGGACAGTAAAGTCTGCGGCCTTAGGGGCTTTAAGGAGCTCCACTCACAAACCAGCACCAACACTGGAGGAGGTGCAGATGGAGAAATTTACAGCAGAGGACAGACTTCTCACCTCAGCGCAGCAGCAGCAGGAGGGCGGTGAGTGAGAGTTAACTAGATTTGTCAAGTAAACGTATCCCTTCTAGTCCAAACTGAATTTCTGATATCCAAAATTGTGGATTAATAGCAACTGTCCTTTACTATTGTCCGGCAGGGTCAATCATTTTTAACCTGGACGTGATGGTGTCGCTGTTGAGGCAGGAAAACGCTGAGGACATTTGTGTGATTAAAGTACCGGAGGAGCTCAAATATACAGAGTACTTCATTGTAGTCAGCGGATCATCAGCCAGACACCTGAGGGCCATGGCGCTCTATGCCATCAAAGTGGTAAAGAGACACGTTTTTACATGGTTTTAGTTCACTGACTAAAATGAATAACATTTCAAACTCATCTGACTAAATAAGAATCTGTCTTTTTGCTCTCTCAGTACAAGTTTATGAAGAAAGAATGTGACCCACACGCGCACATAGAGGGTAAAGATGCTGAAGACTGGATGTGCATTGACTTTGGTAAGCATGACATCAACATCACAATCATGGGTGTCCCAGTTATTGCTCAGACAGACTGAACTTTGGTCTCTTATATTGTCCACACCTCTTGCAGGCTCTATGGTAGTGCACTTCATGCTGCCGGAGACTAGAGCAGCGTATGAGCTGGAGAAACTGTGGACGCTGCGCTCTTATGATGAACAGTTCAGCAGCATCCCAACCCAAAGCCTCCCTACAGACTTCATTTATGATGCTGAAACCAAGTGACCAGGACTGGAGGCGCAATTTGCTCTGACTGTACTGTTAAGACAAGACTGTGGGATTTACTCGGACAAAAAATGCTGTTTAAACATTTAATTAAAGCACCTCAATCAAATGTCATTCTTTGGAGACAAAGAAATCACTCTGGGTGTTTGGAAAACTCTGTGACACCGAGTCATGTAACTTTTTATACAACAGTTAGTTCCGGCCACGCAAGCTGATTGGTTGAGAAGCGTTCTAACTGTGCCGTTATTTCACCATAACATCACGTTTTTTTCACGAACACTGTATCACTCCGCTCAGACGCCGTTGCTAAGCAACGACTTTGACAGCTGTAGGAGACGCTCAAACCATCTGAACGTTTTTACTTCTTACTTTGCGCACAAACAGAAAATGGATATTTTAAGATCACATTTGACCGACAGCCGATTTGGTCAGACTCTGAAGATCAGACTAAACTCCCAAACTGTCAGCTGGTCTGTGTGGAGCTGGAGAACGAACTGCTGGCTGTGCAGCGAGTGAGCGGAGCTCGATACTCTGACGTAGCTGCTTGTTTAGGAACTATAATTTGGCGGAAGGAACTGCTAACATTAAAACATATTAAATGCCACGTTCACGACCCAATTTATTTATTTCTTACTTTATTTATTTAACTGTTTTATAAAAGCAATAGAACATTCGAGGTCGTGTGTTATCGCTATAACATCACGGCTGTGATAATCTACGGCACTCGCCTTCAATGTTATTTCGCGATAACACACTCCCTCTCCTGTTCTACTGCTTAAGTAGCTCTTGCTTTAAAATCTCTCATCAGAGAGCTGATTATCCTTTATGGCCCACATGTAGTGCTGATCTGGATATGATATCCACCTCTAGCTGCAAAATTAAAGTATTTTTTCATGTGACAGTTGCTGATTTGTATACATTCTGCATGAGGAGGTCTGGGCCCCTTTTCAATGCTCACCCTTTGGAAGTACATCACACATGTTACACAAGTGACTACTCAGTACAAGAGAAGGGGACACACTAAGAAGAAGAGTTGATTTTTGAACCAGAACATACTTGCCTGCAGCTCGGTTAGCCTGAGCAAACCAGTTAGCTAGCCAAGCAGAGTCTGTAATGTAAAATGTCGGTTTTTATTTGGTGTATGCAGAAATACTGGCAATCATGAACTGTTATTAAACTATAAATCTGGTACCGCAGATAAAAAAAAGACACCATTTAAAGAAAACCAATAAATAACTTATCCAGAGTAAACAATAAAATGAACCATACACCAAGTACAAATGATTTATTCTGAGAGAGCAGAGGGAGGACTGAGTGTTTGAATCAAGCAGTCAAGTCCATCACGTAAAATACCATTTGTAGTTTTGCCTGTACAGAAGTAGGTGCAGCCTGAGGACCAGGTATGTCCTTTTGATCACCATGAACAGTTTCCGGTGGGAGACGCACCAATTTTTAGCCTATTAAATCAGTTCCTCCTCTTCCTCTTCAAGAAAGCATCACTCTCTTAGCTGTTTTGGGCCAGCTGAAGGTCAAAGATGAATAAAAGACTGCTCGTTGCGTATCCTACAGAGCCACAAACTGGACTCTGCTGTAAAGAGCTTGCAGTTGAACACAGTACCTCAGCAGCAGAGAGAGCACACAGCTTCTAGTGGCTTCACTTCAAACACATGAGGAGTTGGGATGAGTGTGTGTGTGTGTCTGGCACCTTTGTCTCATGGCGCCATCCAGAAGGGCATGGGTTGTGATGTCTGTGTTTTGGGCCGAGGCGGAGGTGGTGTGGGGCAGCGGTACACTCCAGCAGGCCATCCAGGGGGGGATGAGCCTGGGCCTATGTTACCTGAGCCACCCGCTTTCTGAGAACTGTGATCGTCCTCTTCATCAGAGGAATCGCCAGAGTACGCTACCAGCCCAGTCTTCATACGCTTCACCTGTGGCTCTGTGGAAGAAGGGGGGGCGGAAAAAAAAAAGAACAAGAGAGAGAAAGAGAAACAACACAACAGCAAAAACATTCAAAGCATAATAAGAAAGAGGCACACAGCAAATTGCATATGTGGCCACCAACATCATGAGGGAGGGGTGTGGTGAAGATTGGAGACCGTCATTGGTCATTGGTTTGTCGGTCGGTGGGGGCAACGTTTAAGCCGTCCAATCAGGAAGCAAAACGGAAAGTGGCCACACCCCCAACCAAACCGAATACGAATGTCCAGCATCCCCCAGAGGGTCATAAAAAAGAGAAAAAATACAGAGAAAGAGAGAGAGAGAACACAGAAAAAACACAGAAAAGAAGAGAGAGTCCTGTTAGCAAGGTGGTTAAACAAGAAAACAGATGTTCCGTCATTCTGATGATGTCATCAGAGAGGGAGGGACTGACTCTTGCCATCAGCCAATCAGAGAATGAAAGAAAAAAAGAGGAGGCAGGGCCTCAGCGACTCCACAATATTTCGATTAGATAAATTTAGTCTAACTGAACTTTGTCAGCACATCCTTTGAAATACGATCAAAAGATGTGTTTTTTAAACAGCATGCAAAATGCAGTGACATTGCTTCTTTAAGAGGAATGAGGCACACAAGGAGCTTATCCAATAAAGAGAGTGGAAAGCTCCATGAGTGGTGAGAGAGAGGCTGTCATGTATGTGTGTCTTACCCAGCGAGGCTGGCAGGGTTCTCCTCTCCTCACTCTTCTGTGTTCTCACTCCACCATTCACCGGCAGCAGTGGCGGGGGCATCAGCTGCCTACTGAGGAGGTCAAAGAGACAGAAAAAG